GATTGTTTCTGGTATTCATCAATGATCTTGCACTGAAAATCGCTTCAAATTTCTTTCTGTTTGCTGACGATATCAAGATATGGCGCCGGATGCAGGCGGATACCGATAAGAATTTACTTCTGTGTGACCTAGACGTGGTACATGAGTGGTTAACCCGAAATCTGCAACAGTTCAACGTGGACAAATGCAAGGTACTCTCCATAAGACACCAGAGTACCTATCCCTACAGGCTAGGAAAGCAAGTACTGCAGCGATCATCCGTCGAACGCGACCTTAGCGTGCTTGTTCAGGATAACTTGGATTGTTCCAAGCAATCCGCAAAGGTAACCATCACGTCGGCTTGCTACGACAGGCGTTCGGACAAACAGACACCTCTATCTTCAGCCAGATGCTGAATGCGTGTGTTCGCCCCCACGTCAAATACGCAATCCAAGCCATGCCTCAGCCATGGCGGGCGATATCGCCGACTACGAGGCGACTTGCTTATGGCGTAGTCGACTTTACACAATTCAAACCATGTGTGTCGCTCTTTACTGCAACTCGACAGCAACAGCAAAATCAGAGGCCAGTCCTTGAAATTAGAAGAAAAGCACAGCCGAATGGCGTGCCAGAGAAATTTGTTTCCATTTGTGTGTGTCAACCATGGAACGCTCTCCCCGAGTCCGTTATTTCGGCACCCACGTTAGCCATATTCAAAAGTCGGTTGTATGACGCACTCCACCACTTACATTTTGTTACTTGACGCTCTTCTCCCGGGAAATACTTTGGATTTATTTTGTTCGCATAATGGAGCTATGGAAACAAGTGGAGTGCAGGGCTACTGCATTACATTAGATAACTCCACTCTTTTGATAGCAGAACTACTAACTGCATCTTTTTCATAAAAACGTTTTTCGCTAACCCGCCAGAATAATCAACGAGGCTGGTAAAGCAGTGCTTCTTAACCCGGATAAAATTATTGTTCATTATTCAAGCTTCGACGCCTTGCGACATGATCATGACAACTGGAAACCTGGCTTAATGAGGAAATCACTGATGTCGAAATCGCCTTACCATGCATATCCGTCCTAAAAAATGATCGATAAAGTAGGGAAGGCGGCGTTCTTTGTAGCATCGCAGTGATCTGTATTTCGAACTGGTTAATAACCAGATACTCAAGTTGTTGACTGCTTTGGGTGTCGCTTGCAACTCAGGTGTGGCAATACATGTTTAATGGCCATTGTATCATCATCAGCATTATACGATAGCTGAGGGTGAGAAACACAGCTAATGCGCTGCAATACAAAAAGGTAAGATACAAAAATTCAACAGCAGGCAATATGATGTTAGATGTTATAGTATGTAATTCGTATGAGATCGGAGTTGGAGGGGAATCTAAAAGGGAGGAGAATGGACAATGAAGTTCACAACACAAACGCCAATGGGGCCGGCTCTTCGCTATTTCAGCAAATGGGTCCAACCAAACGTGTTCATCGTCCTAAGGACCCATTGGTCATTGTATACCGTCCCCCGATATCAACTGTAGAAATGAGCAACCATTTAGCAAATGTTCTGAAGACCGTTAAGCAAAGCTCTTCAGTCACGTTCTCCTCGCCAGAGACTTTGACTTGTACGCTGTGAATGTTACAGTCATCCGCAGTGAGCAATTTAAAGCCGAGCTGCAAGAGCTAGTCGCTGACCTACCGCTTCATAATCACAGTACCTACTCTAGGAGATTCGGAACAGGGAACAAACCGCCATTCTGGACCTTGTGCCTACCAGTAAAGAACATATGAGCGACACAGTAACACTGAGGAGCCCGTTGGAACGCAGGGATCATGCGACACTGCCTTTCCAATACGTCGGAGACACCATTACCTAGCTTCGCAACTGCAGCTTTCTCCGTGGCAACCTTATCAGGTGAGAATGACTGCTCTCAGATAACTGATCTCTTTATTTCGCATAACGGATTTGGTCAGCTCACGAGGTGACTAGCACCCTTTCTGTGTGCTTCATCACATTTCCGTTACGTGGCTCAGTGGCCAAGTGGTAAAGGAGACGGATAATAATTATTCGTCGTTGAGTCAGGTTTCGTTTATCATGATCATGTCCAAGGGCGACGAAGCTTGGCGACAATGAAACTCAGAAAACTTGCTTAGGAGGCCTTGTGCATTAATGTAAAAACAGGATATTGTTTCGAATGTCAAAACCGTGTATGGAGGCGTGGGTGCCAGGTGATCTTTCAAGCCGGCCTTTGTGAGGTCGGCAATTAATCGTCTTTGAATGAACTACTGAGCCTCTTCATGTCAGCTGGTAGGAAGCTCACGTGATGATGTTCCGGTTAAAATGGTCATTGGATAAGTCGCTGTACCTGTGAGAACCTGTCGTGGACCGCAGCTGTACGACTCAAAAGAAAGTTTTGCAGGGGTAGTTGATAAGCCTCGGTGATTACACTTTGCTTCGGTCGACCGGGGCCTCGTGTTAAAGGCCTTCAAGTGAATCTACGATGGGAGCTTGTTACGACGCTTGCGTCACACCTCGAGCACTTATTCAGCCATGCGTTTGGACTGAAGTAAAACTTTCAACATTTTGGGGCCATGTTTATCAGCAAACTGCTATTTCCAATAGGATCAATTACCGTGGTGTTGACAGTTAATCGATTAGCGCGGCTGGGGTAGATGAAGACCAAACGCAGGGGTTACTGCAGTTAGGGTCGTACAGTCTGGTCGTATGTGCGGACAGGCGCAAGTGAACTTTAAGCGAGGTTTGGATGTAGCTTGCTCTCCGGGTTCCACGTTGAAATAAGCAACAGCTTTGAGAGTGCGAGTGCAACTCAAGCGACATGTGTCGTGAAGGGTGATCCCCGCAGAGTGGATCCACGAGGCGGAGTGCACTGGATAGCTACGAGCTGGTTTGAATGGGTGTAGGCACGAGGGCGTGCGATGAGAATTTCGAGAATAATTCCGAAAGAGGGCTGGAAAGAGCAATCTGGTGGTGTGACTCTGCGCTAATGCATTTATGTGAACCTGGCCGTTCCAGCTGGATACCGTTGGGATGAATTTTTGTCACACAAATTTCTTCCGCGCATCGTTAACATGTACTGTGAAGGCTTTTTTCTAGTTGCAAACTGTTGCGATTGGTTATCACGAGCCACGGTCTGTCTGGCGATGCAGGTGACTCATGTTTGTGAAGAAATGTCCACAATACCAAGCGAACCAGTGACTTGGTCGCGTGCACACATTACCCCGTGTCCTTTGCGTGTTCGTGTTCTTACTTACAATACTGGCGACAGTTTGATGGAACCCATGGTGTCCGTCGGAAAATTGGAAGAGTACAGTGAGGGAAGCGGTTCCTAGGACCATTTCACCGAACGTATGTACTGTCTTTTCTCCGCTAACGAAATCATCAGCAACAACCGCAAAGTGAATATCCCACCGAGTATCTATGGCGCAAAATCATACAAATTAGTTCACAGCTTGGTGACTCCCAATTTGCCATGCACCAAAAATTTTACTGAACTGGTCACACTAGTTTCCAATCACTATAAACCAAAACCATCAGTTACTGTGTAGTGATTTAAATTCAATACCCGAGTACATGGTGATAGGGAGTCAGTTGGTTCCTTCGTTGCCGAGCTTCGGAAGTTGACAAAAGATTGTGATTTCGGTAACTACCGAAACGACAGAATCCGGGATCGTATGGTGGTCGGCGTGGAAAACGTTCGCATTCAGCGCTGCCTGATGGATGATAACGCATTGACTTTGGAAAGTGCCTATGATGTGTCGACGGGCGTGGAGGTTGCTGAAAGTAATGCCCACCTGCTATAGAATTTACAGCACAATTCAAAAACATGTGCTGAAGATGTCATGGCCGAAGTCAACAAAGTTGATAAAAACACCACCGCCCGTTCAACTGTTATCGCTGCGGCTTGCGGCACAGTCACCCCCAGAGAATGCAAACATACACAGATGGTTGGTAATAAATGCCAAAAACGTGAACACTTGGCCCGTATGTCCCGGTCCAGTACAAACCCAAGTTCCCCGGTAGTAAACAACCAACTTGTTGCTATTGAAGCACAGGAATATATATTTAACAGAACTACCCCAAATGTACAACCACCATTTCGCGTGCAGCTTTGTGTTAACCAGATTCCAATGCATTCGGAAATCGTCACGGGCAGTGCAGTAACACTGTGCAACGAACGAACGTGATCACAGACATTGGCTCCAAGGAGCCACACCAAACTGTGTCGGGCCCCTTTGCGATTGCTTACGTACAGGGGTGATGAAGTGAAACTGCTGGGGTGCAAGACGTTGAGGTGTCATGTGGAGGATTGATAACCCGAGAAACCATTTACATCGCACTCAGAGACGGTCCAAACCTACTGGACCGCGACTGGATCAGTCAACTACCAGTTCTGCAGATAAACCATATTTACTTATCAACGGAGATACAAACACCGTTCCAGCAATATGCGCCAGTAGTTGAGATGCCCGGAGGAAGGAAAGTTCATCGGTGGACAAGCTAATATCTACATTCCACATGGCATACAACCGCGATTCACCAAGGCTCGGTCGCTGCCGTACATGATGCGATCGAAGGCAGAAGAGGAACTTGATCGTCTGCAGAAGAGCGGCGTCATAGATCCAGTACAGTTTTCGGATTAGGCTAGACCAATTCTTCAAGTACTCAAGCACGATGGATCGATTCGTATATGTGGGAACTATAAAATTATAAAGCTATATATATATATATATATATATATATATATAATGAGGAACGCTGAGATGAAGCGATATTTGTAGCGAAAGACAACGTTAAATAGTTGTGGTTCTTTGACGAGATGGAGCACAATATAAAGTATTTACGATGCAACAACTCCCATACAGCTAAGGATGCGAGGATATAGGCAGGTAGCTACTCACTAGGAAAGTAGAATAAAAATTGGCTAATGAAGGTATGAAGCGAGGGGAATGAAAACGGGAAATAAATATGAGGTTCGAAACAGAGGATCACCTCACCTTTTCATCCGGCAAAGGAACCAAAGTGCCCCGTCTCAAGCTCGTCTCAATCACGGTAGCCTTTGAAGATAGGTTAGAAAGTCGGGCGAGAGCCCCTTCAAACTGAAGGTGACGTAAAAGCGGGGCCAATCGAGCCAAACATAAACGCAGCACCTCCACGTCCGAGGATAGGCGGGCCGTGGTATTCTCCAAGGCGGCTTGAGTCGTAGGATCAGTAACTGTGGGTGCGATCGAACGACTTGAGCGGACCAATGCCTCACAAGGCTGTGAAAAACAGAAAAAATATAAAAAGGTTCTTCTTTGGTGAATATGAATGATACACCTTTAATAAAACAGTTAGAACCTTTAAACATACAGACCAATCATTGATTCCGGTTTCGCGCCGTATCAGTAAGTGCTTCGAGCCATTGGCAATGCTTAGGACCTTGTGGGGCAGTGACTATTGGAAAGTTAGAGTCCCGAATCGCATAGCCTATTATGCATTAAACAAATGTTAGTTAGCTTTGGAGGGTCATGGTGAAGCACTGCTTGTGCAGAGGCATTAAGACGCACAATCTCAATGTGGACCGTGATTCTCATTGAAGTAAACCTTGGCCGATGCGATCACTGAGACTGTAACTGCTGAAGCGGATAAGCGATGACCCAGTTGTCCGCTGTCATTCTGTGGGGCTTCGTCTATTTTGCGCGGATGTGTGGGTGAACCTATGCATCCACAGAACTATTGGAACAGTGTAGGCCATCATGACTCCACCAAACCCAGTCTAACTCTACTGGCCTACAGCTGCAGTTTGTTAGCAAAGAAAGGGGAGTAAAGCGATTAGGCAATTTTCAGACCACACTGTGGTCACCCGGATGCAACAGAACTGTTCAAGCAGTGGGCGATTGTGCAAGCTCTCCACTTGATCAATCGCGCTGTTAACCTCGAGCAAAGCCAACGACCCAGTTGTCCCGTGTCGCTCTCTGAGATTTCGCATATTTCCTGTGGGTGCGTGGGGGACCTATGCAGAAGCTGGACTATTAAAACAGCGTAGGCTATCATAACACCACCAGAGGTAGCCTAGATTTATTAGCCTTGTGCTGCACAAAACGACCAAAATGAGCGACGAGAGAACACATCTCCGAGGCTGCGCTAATACAAGCGAACGTCATCACCACAACAGGAGATTCTCAAACAGCTTGTGTTCGTCGACGGCAAAACCTCTCATGAAGCTGTTGAAGTCGCTGATGTCAGTGAGAATAGAGGGAAGAAACATCGGCACTGCCTACAGAAGAAAAGGCACGAACACAGCGCAAATGTGGGAGAAACAACAGGGAGAAGCTGACTCCCGATGTCCTGCAGCGCGTCGACGAGATCACTGAACGGCATTTGGAGGACACACTGGTGCAGCTGCAGCATTGGCTGAACGGAAACGGGATCCACCTATCCTTATCCACTGTCTTCAACGCTCAAAAGGGGCAAAGGAAAACGCTCAAGAAATGCCAATATGAGCAAGATCACATCAACAGTGCCACGACAATCGCACGCCGGCAAGCCTATGCTCTTGACTTCCCGGTACATGTACTGAATGATAAAGAAAAGTGCATCTTCATAGATGAGAATGGGTTCAATCTCCGTCTGCGGCAGACTTAGGCTTGCTCAAGAAGAGGGACGCGCACGAACGTCGTCTTGCCCACAGTCAGAGGCCGCATGGTGACACTGAATTTGGCGGCAAAGAACCAAGACATCATCCGCTCAAAATCATCAGCCATGATATCTGCAGTGGTGTAACGTACTCAATGGTCGTTGACGAACTTTTGAAGCTTATACGCTGCAGTGTGGGGATGAACTGTGCTTGGCTGATCGCATACAACGCCAGGATCCACATGTCGGACGATCTAAGGGGGAGACCGGTTACCTCATTTTGACGCCATCACGGTCCATTTCCACCGGATTCTCTCACTTAGAAGTGCCCTGCAATCTACCGATAACCTCAGAACCAATTTGCCAAAAACGTAAGGAAAGGAAGGATATCCAGCGCAGCGGAATGTCTGCAGTGTGCTCAATCTAACTTTTGACTTCAGTCGATGAAACTCACAAGGATGACGGTTCCCCAGGTACAGCTGTACATGTGGCTATGTGGCTCCGAATAGATTCACAACTCAAATCTGATCGAGATAGACAACTGCCTGGCGGAATGAAATCTAATAGAGGTTTAATTCCAGCTTTGCAAATTCCATTCAAATAAGACGTTAGACGGTCAGCTCTCTTATTTCTTCATTCTGTAAGCAAGAACACACCGAAACATCTGGTGCACCTGCACTATTTCGTTGAAAAAGGATGAGATTACAACCATCATCATCAGCAGCAGCATCATCAACAGCAGTACATCAGCCATTTGAACTGATGCTTCGCTACCATAGAACCATGAGGACCTATGAAATAAAGAATAAGAAAAGGGAGAGAAGGGGGACTTACCTGAAAACCTTAAGGCCCTAAGCAAACATTCTGGGTCAAGGCGCCTACACCTTGTGTAGACAACATTCCGTCACAAACAGCTGCCTATCGTGCAAAGATAAGGCGGCATCGGCGAAACAGCTTCCTTGCGGCTTTCACTGCCACGCGTCATAATCACCCATTACCCAGCATATAACTCACACCAAACACACTTTAAACAGGCAATCCAATAAGGAGACGGCAGCAGACGCGCCACTGGTGTCTACTGCGAGCCAGGTCCTGTAAAGTCTAGACCCAAGCACAAGGTGAGTCACGTGGACTCCAACCCGAAAGGCGAGACGAACCAACGGCATCCAGTTTGGTCGTCAGTGACTTCATTTCCCGCTGCCAAGTAAACTTCTGTCCACCTCGAGCCTTGCGCTACCCTACACCTGGTAGAATGAACAAGGCCCTCCTAGGTAAGCGGTGACCAGGCTTACGTAGCACGTGCCCGAGAAAACGCAACTTATTCAGTGCTATATGTTGTTCTAGGGAGCTAGCATGATTATCACCACCTAGTACTCGCCTACGAACATCATTGTTGCGGACACGCTGGATCCATCCGACTCCAACAATGCTTCGCAAACAACGATGATCAAAGACTTGAAGGCGCCTCAGATCTTCAGACCGAAGGGGCCAAGTCTTACTACCAAGGAGCAGAACGGCCCTCACTGTGGCCTTGTATACACCGCCTTTCAGACGGAGGGAAACTCCCTTCTGTCGCCAAAGATGTCGCAGATTCAAGAAGGTAGCTCTGGCTTTTGCAATGCGCGAGTTGACGTCAGTTTCTATACGACCATCATTGCTGATGCAGCTGCCAAGATAAGTGAAATGACCAACCACCTCGAGTTCCTCGTTAGCAAGCGTCAAGGGGTCATCAAGTGGCTGGTGGTCCTGCAGCAACACTTTGCACTTTGAAGGTGCGAAGTGCATACCAAATAATGGGACCACGCTGGATAGGCTATTCAGGGTTGATTGTGCCTCCTCAACATTGTCGGAAAGCAAGACGATATCGTCCGCATACTCTAGATCAACTAAACTTTCACCAGGCAGCACTTAAACGCCTACATCGTGAGATTTCGCAAGGGAACACTCCATGATAGAATCCACGACGAAATTTAACAAAAACAGGGAAATCGGACAACCCTGACGAACGCCACTTGTAGTCGAAAACCTATCCGATAGGACACCGTAGACCCTGACGCGGCCTGTAGTGTTTGAGTATAGAGCACGAAGGATGTTCACATATTTCGTGGGAACACCTTGCCGCGCAAGTATTTCGAACAGAATCGATCGGTCGACTGAATCAAACGCACTCTTGATATCGAGGAACACAGCTATTGTCGGTCTGCGTTATGAGTGGCGCTGCTTTAGCACATGCCGCAAAGTAAATATATGGTCTATAAAGCCACATCCTGGGCGAAAACCGATCTGCTCTTCCCTAATCCGAGATTCCCGTTCCGCAGTGAGGCGACGAACGATAATGGAGGCCAATAATTTTGTCACAACTGGCATTAGGCTAATACTCCTGTGGTTCGCACAGTCTGTGCGACTGCCCTACTTGTATATTGTCACTATAATCGATTCGCTCCAATTAGCCGGCACACTCTCATCCTTTCAGACATGTACGAATAGGGAGGTCAGTGCCCTGCAGAGGACCTCACCTCCATCCTTAAATAGTGCAGGTGGGAGGGAATCCGGGCCAGCGGCACGAAAACGATTGAGGGCTGTGATGACGTTTCGGACCTCGGCCTCCGACGAATGCTCTAAACTAACCGTCCATGGCTCGTCCTGCCTCACCTGAGTAGAAAGCGGTCCAGGATCAGGGGGCCAACTGAACTGATCTTGAAAGTGTTCCGCCCAACGAGCCATACGGCGCTCCTCATTGTGTATCAGCGCACCTGCGCTGTCTCTGCTTGTCTCACTGACGCCTGGTTTTCTGGGACCAGTGGTGCGGATTAGCTGGAAGAGCTTCCGGTAATTGCCTACTGCTCCTGCCTCCTCCATTTATTGAGCCCTACTGGTCCACCAGGCTTCCTTGTCAGCACGCAGGCTCCGCTTTAGTTCACGCCTAATAGCCCGTCTGGTCAGCCGGGAGGTGTCTTCTAGATTCCAACAGGTTCACCGACTTCTCGGATATCCAGTGACTGGTGCGGTGACCATTGATAGTGCCACAAGCAGATGCTCCTGCATCGTGCATGGCGACCGAGATCCTATTTCACTGAAGTTCAGTGTCATTAGGACAAGACAGCGAGAGTTCGGTATGCAGTGCTTCTTGATAGGCTTGCCTGACCGAGGACTGAGACAATTTCTCCGTTGCCAATCGTAGGGGACACTTGGTGCGCCTCCCGGTAAAGTTCGTGGAGAAACGACAAGGTACCAAGGCATGATCAGAGTCGACACAGGTACTCCAGTACGAGCGGCAATCCAGGATGGAAACACGCCATTTGTAACCTATGGCCATGTGGTCAATTTGGGTCCATCGCTGGCCAGCTACAGGAGGATGTCAAGTGGAACTTCGGCGCCCAATGCGTCTAAAAGCAGTGCTACTAAGAAACAACTGGTGCTCCGCACATAGTTGCAGCGGACGCTCACCGTTGTCAGTCCGCTCGGAGTTAAGTCCACATTTACCACTTATCTGAGCTTCTGAAGAGCTCAGACGCCCTACTTGTGCGTTCATATCCCCTGCAAGTACCATAATATCTGCACCAGTAGCACTGCGTAAAAGCGCATTCAGTTCGTGATAGAATGTGTCCTTGACAGCATTTGAACTACAGTCGGTGGGAGCATAGGCGGAAATCAAGAAGAAACAGCGTTTTTTACTACTTCTTGAATCAACCTTAGCTTATGTCGTCAGATGGGCTGCACATAAACGGCTGTTCGCCGGTTCGAATCCGCGTAGGGTTGGGCGTCCTCGCAGTACACACAGCCTGCGAGCGACTGGTGGTGGTCGTGCTGCAGCCAAGCGCCGTTACGGCGTACGGCTGGCACATTATTATTAGTATGATTATTGTTATGGTACGCTTCTCGGGGCGGCTGTGACGTTTCCTAATTGTTGATGAAACCCATATCCCACAGGCATCGGGATTCGAAGGCTGTACGGTCTGCCTAAAACGCATAAGCCTAATGTTCCTCTGCGACCAGCTTTAGATATGAAGAACTATCCGTAACATTCCATTTCACGGGGGCTCGTTGAGATTTTGGAGGCCATCGGAAAGCACGTTGCTGTACACAGCCTGAAGGACAGTTTTGAGTTTGTAGATGTCGCACGTGATCTAAATGTTACAGAACTAATCACGTGTTCTCCCAACTTTGCTTCACTTTCCACTAACGTGCCGCTGTTTGAAATTATAAATTACATCTGTGATTAAATTGATCAGAATCAAATAGCGATTGATATTCCCACAGTTGGCCTAACAGAAACAGAAAAGGTTTTCCAAAAATAAAGACTTCAAAAATCTCATTCATATATAGTGGGTATAATAAAGGGCCCAGGACACTGCCTTGTATCACGCCATTAGTGACTGGCTTAGGCGTGCTTGTCACTTTATGAAACTCGACAAACTGGGTTCGGTTAGTAATGCACAAATCGAAGAACAATAGCACAGGTTTACCTATGTCATGTGCTATTAGTTTGGAAAAGAGATTAGTGTGCGAAACACGATCAAATGCTTTTCCAAGTGTATGCAGAAGACTATAATAGCTGATGAGCCGTAGTCAAGTGAACTAAGATTGAGATTGCTAATCTGGCATGCTATGCAAGATCGTAAAAACATGGGAAGGTTTGTTGCGGAATGTGTTGGTAAGATGTCGCTCCATCAAAAATCAACAGTTTCGGACTTTGTGTGAGGTTCCATCACCCTAGAGAGAATGGGAGTATGGCTGATATGACGGTAGTTGCCCGTTTCCTGTACGGATCCTGATTTGGCAAAATACCAGTTTTCATAGAGATTGAAAAAAGATTCAAAAGCAGTATGGGGATATCAGAGCCCCCTTTTTGATCAAGTTTGGCTCTAAATTGTCCGGTCCAGCATACCGATATAAGTTAGTTAAAGAACTAAGGCGATTAATGTCACGGAGGCTGAATTCTACTTTTCAGAGTTATCATCGGTAAGCATGGGGAGAATTTGCGCTGGAAGCTTAGTAGTGGTGTTAAAGGTGGAGCTAAAGTGGTTGTTAGGAGCATTGTTTAGAGTTGGATCGCTTGTTATTCAGTTTTCACAAATCAAAATGGAGGGGATTTCTGTGGATTTGTTTCGGCTTTTCAACAAGTTGGTAGGTTCGTGATTTTTGTGATAGCCGTCGGCAATTACCTTATTTGTAGCAATGTTAAGGAGGTCTTTTGTTTTCAGGTGACAACTATGAAGCTGCGTGAGTTTATGGGTAAATTTATCGAGAGCGGAGATGGATTTTTCTATACAGGGAAAACGCTTATATCCTAATTCACGTCTAAAGTTATTCCGAGTATCGGTTGTACAAATTAATAATATTTCAAGCTCAGTTAAATCCGAAGCACCGATAGGTAGATCGACCGTAGCTGATGTGATAAGATGTGGTTAGATTACAACATTACAAAACCAATTTCAACACCTCTCGTGGCACGACTGAGAAATGAGAAAATTAATTTTTTTAACCACTGTACCACGTTGGTAGGTTAGAATAGGAGTTAGATCTAAGTCCGCGATAAAATGGAAAAATTCCGAAATTCTGAAAGATGTCATGGCGAGATGTCTTCCTACATTCACGCTTTGTTTTGAAGGCAATTAAGCTGAAAAGTTGGAGACATTAATGTGGGAAGAAATATGATAGTAGGAATTTCCATAGTGATAGTGAAAATAGCGAAAAGGCGAATGAATCAAGCCAAATCAAAAAAGTGCAATGTATAAGGACTACTTTTGGCACCAGACACTACCTAAATAAGCATAAGAAACATGTATGAATCATCGCCGAAGCTACCGCAATCACGGTTTTAAAACGGGAATTGTGTGAACAATGGACTATGGTACAAACTTAGAGTTTGCCTTAGTCATGAAGTGGCCGACATCAAGTGTTCGGTGTTGACCACGGATGTTTATGTATGCTGCCTGATCCGATTGATGTATCGTGCTGTTTAGCTAACCAGTTGCACATAAGTGTTATTTTTTCTGTGTCCATTTATCCACCTTTGACAGGTTTCACGACCGTATGTGGTCATAAATATGCTTTATATTTGTGGACGCCTGACGTGATTTATCGAACAGAATATTCCTCGCATAAATGTTAGCTTGTGAAACCTAGACCGCATTGATAACATGCCGACTTTGCGTCAATTGTTGAAACATCTCCAATATAACTGGCGGCCATACATAAGCATGCTCCTCAGTGAATTCATTTTCCTTTTAGAACAGTGGGATTAGAAAAGATTTGCCTGAGAAATAGGTCAACATTATCAGTTTTACACGCGTAGTCAAGGTAGAGTGAGAGCTTATTGCAAGCTGTCGCTGGCCCACAATATATTGAGGACAATTTCCAAATCTTCGTCGACATCGAATTTGAAAAAGAGGTGATAGCAGGCGTCTTTATTTCACACCACTAGATTGCGGTACGCCGGCGATGGCATCTTAATATGTGGTAACGCACAACCCTGTCAAGAAGCATCGGACAGATTAGCACCACTGCAAGTAAGGTTTGGGAACAGACACATATTTGTGGTTTGGGAACACATGTTCGCAATATTTCGCGACAACAAAACCGAATGCAGTTCTTATGGGTATCGTTTAGAGGAAACTTCATTGGAAAAGAAAAAAAGCGAATGGCAGACGTACCGAAACGAATCTCTCACAGGCTTCGATGAGTGCCATTTGAGTCATTGGATCGTCTGGATACACACGTGACTCTCTGATGCTAATCACAGTCCGGGGGATGAGGTCGTTCAGAATTTTGCCATCCATCGTGACCTGGGGGAAAGTTAAGCACTCAATAGCAACACAGTCTGCACTATGGAGATGACGTTCAACAGACAGCATGCGTAACTGTGGTAATAACTGATGAAGTTTATATACAAACGCACTATAGCGCACTTAATGCTTATTAAATGACAAGCTTAGCAACAAAATTGTGAAATGTGTTCAAAATAACACTATCGTTTGTGAAATTACTGACGTCACTTAGCAAACGCCGAACAGCGAAAAAGTGATCGCAAGTGAATGAATGCACAGATTCGTCCCGCAAATGCAGTGCGAGTCTCTAGTGTTCATGCTTTATGGAATTTTTTACTTGAGCCGGTGAGTCAAGAGGAGATTGAAAAGTGTAGGAGAAATGTGTACGGTTTCGCCTACCAGAGAAATGAACATGACATCGGTCAGGTGCCTCTCTTCGAAAGAAGTTTCTGAGTGGTGAGGTGGTTAAAGAAAAATTAAAGGCCCAGACCCAAGAACAAGTGCGACAGCATTGAGCGAACAGCAGGGTAAGGCGAGTATGTATTAGATACACATAGAAGACAAAAACGGATGCAAAAGAATCTACCGTTCCTACATGGTAACTGTTTCCGCGGCACTGCTTTGCGGCAACTTGGCTAACATTCACCAACTGAGTGGCTCCGGTGACAGCCGCCCTTGCTGACGTCTGCAGACTACGAATGAGGCGAGAGTGCATCAGTTCGGCGGTAGCTGAGTAGGCGACCGAGTTCAGATTTTCTGCAGCTACACGAAGATCCCCTTGTAGCGCCGAGTTGTCCGGATTAGCAGAACATGCCTACAAAACAAGTTTGAGAAGAAAATAAACGAGGAACAGTAGAACGACGGTTAGCTAAAGAGTAAGAACAACGTAGAGACGCGTTTAGGTGAAACTGAGATCATTCTGACAGTAGAGAGCTAGATAGTCCTTGCCAGATGGTGACACGAGTGTGGATTTGTGTGGACATGGTGTCAGATCAGGAAAAGAACCCACAACAGCGGCATGCCAAACGATACCATGCGGATACACGATAATTAGGGTTAACTTAACCCCGCTGCGGTGTGGAAACCCGTTTGGCGATAAATGGATTCCAGTGCCGATACCGTATGGCAAGAACGTCGACACATACATGAAAACCTGCGATGACAGCGGACGTCCAAGTTATGCATGAGCAACAGCAATGCACTTAACAGGTAAACGAGTATTTTTTACTCGCAATAATCCTTTCTCTTAAATGCGAATTCCGCAAGAATAGTTGAAACGGCCGCGTGTAAATCAACTCGTAACGTAGAGTGGTCGCATCCGTTGCAAGCATCAGCGTCCCACTAGCTCAGGATATTAGACACCAAACAATGTAAAGAGTAACGTAATAAAATTAGATTGGTGCGAGGCAAGCGACATTCCGAGAAAAAGATAACACGCTTGGACCGCAGTAATTTCAGGCGGCATTAACGAGTCCCCATTACAAAAAATTAATGGTAAGTGCTGCTACGTTTGGTAGTATCAGACATGAATACACCCCTAGGTGAGCATTCGAAACTCGTAGAGCAATAGTCTATGCAACAAAGTATACCGATTAATTGTGACATTTAGCAATCCACTAGTCGAAAAACCGACGTGACATAAGGGGCGCGCAACGTGAGGTTGTTCCATCGATAAACCCACAGTTCAGTTGAACTGAACAACAAAGTGAGCAATAAAGTGCGGTGGATCCAATTGCCAAGACTCACACTGCAGGAATAACAATAAATAACAACGGCGAGATGGTGGGGTTAAAGGAAAATGGGATGTAAAGAAAATGAAGCAAGCAGGAAGTGCGTTAAACTAATCAATCGGAATGGAACGAAAACTAACAACCAGATGCAAGAAATCGAATGCAAGGAGGAAACTGACTGCGCCATGTCCGATACCGTCTCCAACCATTGGTATAGACCGTCCCGAGGGTCGCATCCAGAAAGGGCATGTACCAGCCTGCTCAATTCTCTCAGTCAATATCTTTATGCCTTCTTACCATGTCATTCACTGGCCACCTCGCGGTTTCGCCCAAGTTGCCGCAGGCATGGCGTAAAATGCGCGCTAAGGAAGCCGGTCAACGGGCATACGGAGGACACGGTCTAGCCAAGGAAAGCGATTAAGGTCCAGCAAATACTCGAATGAGGAACCAGGGTTTTTTTGCCAAAAACCAACTGGCGGACCCCAGCATTGCTCAGCCGGTGCTCCCACCAGATGTGAGCGCAATACGTCGCAGGCACCGGTGGTCAAACACGGTCAAGCGTTTAACGTCTTCGCCGCGAACTGGCCAGGTCTCGGATCCGTACAGTAAGACCGGCTTCACCGCAGCGTTATACACCTTACCCTTCAGTGACAGGCTCATATTCGCCATCTCCATAGAGGACTGAGTCACTGAAAAGCCGCATAAGCCTTGCTGATACGAGAAGTAACCGCCTCATTGAAGTTTCCACTAGAGGCGACTAAACTACAAGCTAAGTGAACCAATCCAACACTGCCAACCGCTGTTCGGCGACAGCCAGAACCGGAGGTGCGTCAGTCCAGTTCAGCAGCAGTACCTTGAAGGTGCAAAGCACATGTCGAAGCGTACAGCGCTGCGCACGAGTCTATACAGTAGTGTTTCCATAACCAGTGCGTCGTCCGCATAATGCAGGTTTGTCAGTCGGTCACCTGGAAGAACTTCCACTCAGGTAGACCCTAAAATAACCGAGTAATTCATATCGATCACAAAGTTGAGGAGAAAAGGAGGTATGGGACAACCCTAACGAAAACTACTTGTTGTGAGGTACTCAGGAGGAAGTTTCTCATAGACCCTTACACGGTCTCGAGAGTCACGGTAGAGAGACTTCGGAATGAAAATATATTCAAAAGCTCGCTTCACGGATAAGTAGTGTTACAAACTGGCAGCGTCAACACAGTCAAAGGTGGCTTTCAAGTCAAGAAAAATCACCATACCCGGTCGTCTGTATTGATATCTCCGTTCAAACACATGATGAAGAGTAAGTATACAGTTGATGCAAATACGACCATAGCGGAAACCAGCCTGACTTTCGTTGTTTCGGCTCTCACGAGGACAAGTAAGTAGTCGAAGAATCATACCCGTCAGAAGTTAGGGGGTAATGGAAAAAGGCTAATGCGTCAGTGATTTCAACACAAAGTACGTTGACCATTTTCGAAGATAGGTACGGAAGTTAACAGTCAGCAGGCTGAAGGCATCTCTTCGGTGTCCCAAATAGTGTTAAATAGGAAAGCAAGTGAAGTCAACAAAGATTCACTACCATATTTCAGTAAAGATGGTGAAAGGTCATCGAGTCCCGGAGCCTTGTTTCGTATTAAGACGGCGAACTCATGTCGAATCGTTTTTAAAGTGAAAGGTGTGACATCTACTTCCCCCGTCGGCTCAGGTGATTCCGCAAGCGGCAGCGTCGCAGCGAGCCTGCTGAACTGCTCTCCCAAGTGTTCCGCTCAGCGGGCTAGTCGACGCGGCTAAGGATCGATCAACTGTCCATCTTTCTTGGCTATCATCTCACTAACTGATGGGATTCTCAGACCCGTGTTCCGGAAGAGTATTCAAACTCTCGGCTGTTCTCAATAGCACTGATTTTCTCCATCTCACGAGCACGTGCTATCCACCAACGTTTCCGGTCGATTCGAAGACTCCTTGTCAGACGCCGTTTCAGGGAGTTATACACACTGAAAATCAGTGCCTATGGGAACTTATTTCCTAGCTCCGATCAAGCTGGTCGGGGCCATGAACATCCATCTCACGAGCACGTGCTATCCACCAACGTTTCCGGTCGATTCGAAGACTCCTTGTCAGACGTCGTTTCAGGGAGTTATACACACTGAAAATCAGTGCATATGGGAACTTGTTTCCTAGCTCTGATCAAGCTGGTCGGGGCCATGGACATCCATTTAGTTATGATATCCCAAATTGGGTGCCCAGCATACGTCAAAGTCATTCTTCATGGCAACTTTGAGACAATCATAGTTAGCATTCGGTTCACCAACGTCATTTACCACTGGCATTTGGTAGGCCAGTTCGTCATGATATGGTTGAACTGCGGATTGAAAGTTCAAGTTACAGGTAAGGTTAAAAGATAGGTGATACAATAGCATCAGAGAAATAATAAATAACAAAATAATTATGCAGCTCAAAGTGACGGTGCGGTTTCCAGCACGCTAAGTACTACCTAACAGGATTCGGTCTGAGCGTTTATACCGCAAACCAATGAACAAGTAATGAAAGCGAAAGGGTGATGCTGTGGTTTAAGCGAATATACCGTAGGTACACACCGGTAGTCATCGGTTTTGAGTCAACGCGTAGAGCGAATTAAATTCCAGTCAACTCGTGAGCAAAGCACCAAGCAGATATGACAAAATCTATGGTAGCATCCATCAAAAGATCGATCCAGCGAATTACAGAGTCGTAGTATGGACAGAATAAGCCCATATGTTCCCCAAAGGAGAAAAAATGGCCACACAATGTTGGGTTGTAAACAGTGACGGTGGGATATCAACAAGAAGCGCAGGTGCAACAAAGCAGCTAGTAGATAATAGGGCCGAAGATGTGTGTTGCAAGACATTTTGATGTGGGGCCGAACGAAGAACCAAATGTAATATGGATTAAACGCTCGTGGCGCGTTAATGCACTGCATGAACACACAGCGATAGAGAAAGTGCGCACTCACCTTGGCAGCCCCGATCAACACAGTGGTGGCATCCGCCAACTGTTTGGCAGCAGAGAAAAGACGATTCTGGCGATCCGGATCATCGGTGGCCAGCTCGGCTTGAGCTTTAATATCGGCAATCGTTTGCGCGGTGGCCTGCGCAAGACGACGAGCAGACGCTACCATACGCTGACCATCTTGATTGTGGCACTGTTGCAGGCTATCGTATGCGAGTTGGAAGTTGTCCAAAGCATCACCTGAATATGCCTGTAGAAAGAAAAATGTCAGCAAGGTCAAACGGCAAGCAAAGGAAGCTGTAATACAAGAGAACTACATACATGGGTAATAGTAAGAACTAATTTCCTATTCAATGTGCTATGATCTGAGTCCACAACTCGCATAAATCATATATATATATATATATATATATATATATATATATATATATATATATATATATATATATATATATAATATGGTTGGCGGCATCCGGTTTCGGGTTTGCATGTCACTGTGGACAGCCACAGGACGCCTGCGCCTACAGAGGGACCATGGATGGCTTGCGCTGCACCACCCACAGCTCCATCCACACACCCCATATCCAGTGTAAATCCGAAGGAATAAGACCGGGAGGCATGCGGATGGGAGCCACGTTTCATCAACGGAGCCGGCCCACACTCCTTCACAGGCAAATACAAGCACGCTGTATTTGGGGAATCAAGTACACACAAGGCGGTGGCTGGACCGTAGTCCGCTCCACACTGAGTGCATGGAACCACTCTTCGAGCCTAGCACGACCACAAGGACCGTGCACCCCCGTCCCCTCCAGCAACGATCAACTGTCTCCTGGAGCCAGCATGGACGAGGTAGTGGGTAATAGACTGGTAGGCATCTTGTCAACATACACATCAAGCGCAACCATACCAGGGATATCAAACAACAGCCATTCACTTGAAACGACAAGACGAAATAAAATAAATCCAATAACGCAAACAGATACGGTGGCATAACTCTTCGCTAAATTACCAAATGAAGTAAGTTGGTTAGCAACAAATCCGCGTTAAGGAAAAAATGTCCACAATTTAGTTAAAAATGCTACAAACACAACAAAGTTACAGAAGATAGGCGCAATTAGCGTAAGCAACCTGGCTAGTAAATAGAAGATAATTCAGGCAGGCAGAACAAAGTAAGTAAAGTGGAATGAAATTTATCCAGCTTAAAAGGACCTAGTTTAAGTGTAAGTTGGTTTAGCCCAACTGCGGTGAAGAAGCATCAAGAATGCAAAATCAGCCTCGGCATGGGGCACCATATATATATGTATATTTATACATGCTAAACCCAGTAGGGCACATGTTGTCGAAGGTGAAAGCGTCGGTGAGACGCCTGCTGAACAATCCGATGCCTGACCCGTCACTATCTGCGGTCATTTAGGCGAATGTTGGGATGGCACCCAGCAGAACTGCACGAACTGCGTCCTCAATATGATGCTGAGTCTGACAAACGCCGCAGCCGGCCAGCCCTTCATGTACTGACTGTGTTTAACGTTAATACACCATTTTCATCTTAAAGTGGACTCTTTTCCAACCAAACTACTTGATATAGCATGTAATGGTGCGGTGACAAACTCCCGGTGATAGGTGGAACCTATTGTCCACCTTCGATCATTAGACATGTGGATTCTGGCCACGCACCGTTCACTCTGTGGTACATATGCGTCACAAGTTCGTCGACGCGGGCTTACCACTAGCTGACCATCTTCTGGTCCGCTGATAAAATGACCCCGTTGTAGCACAATTATGCAGAGGTCTCTAAAACTTCCTCAGCTATTTTGATTTGTGGGCAGCTCAAGGCATATATATATATATATATATATATATTGGAGATGCAATGTTTCTCGTTTCTTGCTTGCGTTCGTGACTACATGCAACAAGCGACTGCTAATAATTGCTAACAAGAGAAGGTAAAGATAGACTCGAGTTGCTCATTGTCTAGAAAACCTGTTCTGTTACCTTCGTAAGTCCTTCAACCCTACATGTTTAGCGGCGTTAAGCATAGTAATTCGATCCAATGCAACTGAACACGATGAAAGCAGACAATAACACGTTTAACAATCTAGTTGTTACTAAAAATCAACATTCCATCAACATCGTGACGTAAACAAACGATCCGATTTATAGCAATGGTCCCCCTTAAATTCATTAGGTTACCCCCAGTTCGATTAAGATCCAGGGTTAGATCACTACGGTTGCGAGTCATGTAGATCAGATCGAACCTAGTCACTGAGGCACCCTGAATGCTTCTACAAACTAACAACGTCATTGCTTGCTGTCGAACCTCGCACTGCTTCATGGAAGGTGAGTAGGATAGTGGGTTTGCTCACTATCCTCATTGGACCAGAAACAGTAGTTGCCCGAATCATAGCAGTTGGTCAGATGATAGCTTTTACTAAACCGGATATAGACCACATCGGACCAAAGCTCAATACTAACATGGGAATACCATTCTAGCGAATCGCGGTATCATTTATTAATACGAACAAGTTGAATTGCCGTCATTATGTAGGAAAGCGTTGCTGCGACCAATTTGAAGAATTGTGAAGATGATTATATGACAGTTCAACTACATTTAAGTCACTACGTCAGTGCCATCTGTACCTCAGAGGCTGTCATGAGCAAATAGTCTCTCCGGGAAAACAGTGCATCGGGAATCGAGTAAAGCTGCCCAAAGGTACTTAAAACTCTCACGCCCACCATATCAGCATTTTTCCAAGGCGTGCTTCACTTCCAGACAAACTCATCTAAGTGGAAACGTGGAATCATCACTCCGATATACGGAGGAGGTAAGCGGTCGGATCCTGTCAAGTACGGACCTATTACTCTCCTATCTGTTTTATTAAAAACGGTGGGATCGGTAATCGCAGATGAACTGACGCGAAATGTTGAAAGTCTGGGAATACTTTCCTATGTCCAGCGTGGTTTCAGTCGCAGACGATCCTTTCTCACCAATTTGCTGCTTACTCGGGACGCATGGACCACGGCAGCTAATGAAGCGGTCCCCATTAATGTGATTTACTTAGACTTTGCTAAGGCATGCGGCGGAGGCAAACACTTCGTTCTCGGTATCAAGGGTTTCCTTGCTCACTCCGAAAATCTGTGCGGCTCCAGTGCTATACCGCAAGGATCCGTCCTCGGCCCCTTACTGTTTTTAGTCTACATCAATGACCTTCCAGCAAACATTTTATCCCAGATGCAGGAATTCACAGACGGTACTAAAAGGTGGAGAGTAATTCGCTCGGCATCCGACTGTGTCTGGGCAGAAGCGAACCAGCTTCCACTGAACCGTGGAAACTGCCAGCTGCTGACGGTGCGTAGCAGCTTCATTAACGCACGTCTTCTGGAGTGGCACGTTATGCAACAAGTGACTAGTGAAGGGCTTAGATATCATCATTCAAGAAAGCCTGGGAAATTTGCTCCATTTTTCGAAAGCTCCGATTGTCGTTAACTTGGACTTGAGGTTTTTGAGGCGAGTTCTCTGCACCTTTGAACGACAGCTAGTACGTATACTGATTAACTCGCATATTCGTCCGCATGATGAATATGCGGTTAAGGCTTGGCACCCATGGTTAAAAGGAGACATTCGTGTCATGGAGCAGTACCAAAGAAGAGTTACCAAGGCAACACGTGGACTATCCTGTCTGTTACAAACTGTGTCCCCGTTTACACGGTGCATTTTCCTCACAATACCGACGGTTTCGCGGACATCTCATTTTCACTTACCGAATACTAACAGAGAGTGAGCACCTGTAAACATCACTGCTGACCCTTACAAACAGTGCCGAGGTCATCACCTGAAACTAACAACGCGAGATTCTCGTCTGGATTGTAGAAAGTATTTTTAGTCCTTTAGAATCTGTTTCCACTGGAATGCACTGCCAACATACGTGGTGAACGCACCGGACATCGCAAAATTCTAGACTTTCATCTTAGTGCTAAACGCTACACAAGTTCGATGTCTAAACTACTGTTACGTTGACATTTTTGATTTTAATTTTCCTTTGCATTTTCCATTCCGTGGGTCTCGTAAAGTCATGCACGATTGAACTGTTGATCGCGATTCTTTTGAACAACTCCCGTTGTGAGTGCATATACAGTTCGTCAAGGCTTTTCCGCGGCCGTCGTCCGGGCAGCTTCAGCGTGAACAAATCACACTAATTCTGGTCATTTCGACATCCGCATCTCGTAACTAAAACAACCTTTCTTGTGTTGGGACTGTAGAGGAAAAACCGAAAACGAGCTTGTCTGATACGTCTTTTCATGATTGAAAGTCCCAAAGTTTAAGCAAATATTGTGAACCATTCATTCATATGAAAGGTCCGAACCAGCGGATAAAACAGAGAAAACATTCCGTACGCTAAAACAAGATGCTGGTAGCACCTGATGCATTGCATGTGCCGTGTGTACGCAAGGATGATGACCAGACGACGTTTGTTACACTGCAACCGGTGGTCAGAGTGAGGGCGTGATGCTGTCAATTTGCCCAAACCTGAACAGATAGCGCGTGAAGCCTGCCCGATCGAATTGTCCAAATGCCATTGTGTGGAACACATCGCACTTGATCTATGCACAGTGAATTCAACCTACCAGCAGCATAACACATGCGAGCGAGAGATAGAAAGGACTGAACACACGTAGTCTGATTATCGATCGCATTGCCTGGCCGCTGAAAGGTTTGCGCACGGACCGGCATGCAACATGAGAGCTTAGCAACAGACAGAAAACGGCACATGAAACGAATGGGTGTACTAAGCGGCCGTATAGCGCTAGAAGGATAGACTGGGCGAGTGCCGCGAACCCAATGATAGGGGGGGGGGGGAATTAGGACAAATAGTAAGGGTGAATAGGCTGACAGTTCGTCCATCGGCACAGATACCCAAAAGTGGGCGAATATCGGTAAGCAATGCTAGGCCGAATAAAGTAAACTAACGTAAGGGAAAATGATTCAAAGGTAATTTTTGGATTAGAAGGATTGTGACAAAACAAGGAATTTCTGATGACTGTCGCGGAGGCGAGTAAACTGATTCGATAGGTCGGTCGGGACTATCGGAACCAAAAGAGCCTAAAGGAGGACGGAACCGGTGCTCATAGAGTGGAGCGTTGGAGACGAGCAACGTCCAATCTACCGGGTTATCAGTTCCACTAAATGAAACGATGGCATTTCACTTAGTGTATACGACGGTTCGAACTGACGTTGTGTGTCGTAATACAGACACACACACAGAGGGTACGACAAACCCCAATGAGGCCACATGGGCGGGTGAAAAACGCTGAGGCACAGTCCAACGCAACGGAAAACGAAGCTCGACCCCAATGAGGTGGGTAACACAAACCAGAAAATAGTTGCCAGATCCTACAGACAAAATTGTCCGTCTACGATTCGATCCGACTTGACGATCACCGTGCCCCAATCAAGTGAGCGAAGATGTCGCAAGTGTCGGCTGCTCGTGCAGTCCGGTAACTCAGTGACCAAAGCGCTTAGCTGGCAGTAACGAGATCAGCAAATGGAAACCAACCAGGTTCACCTGCAAGTGAAGGACGAAACTAGTCATAAAAGCCAGCTTTGAGTCTAAACGTCACCGTTCCCGATACCGCAGTAACGGACAGGGGGACCGTGGTTCATTGCAGAGTGGGTCATGGCCCAAATTGGGGCTAAGTGCCATAATTCGAACGCAGTAGGTATTCGAAAACAACTGGTCGGTCTGTTATATAGCTTCTGTGTGGGAAAGGATGGTGGGCTCCATACACGGAAAACGGCCGAACACAAGGAGTGCAAAATAATTCAGGTATGTTGCATTGTAGTACGTTCTGTGCTCATGTACAGTGGTGGGAAGCAAATGCTAAATGACCTAAGCAAAAAGCTAGACTTATGCTCTTTGAGCTGATTAAACAGAGTTCGTGTTCGGAACGGAGTTTTGGTTAGGGTGTTGGGGTTGTAGTTAGCGGACCGGGATTTGAATAAGATGGCGGTTCCGAACACGTTCCCCACGAGTGTTTGTATGACAAACATAGTAGGAGTACTGCGTCACAGTCTTATGCACACCTCAGCAGACACATTTACCACTTATATACACACACATACACACACAAACGACCGCTTCCGTGAGACAGTGTAGGTAGTGCAGACCTAAGTAATTGGGCTGTGGGGGCCCAAACAGAAACGAGCTGATTTGAGCGAGATTAGTGCTACATAACATCGACAGCAACACCATAGAGTGTAAGCAAAAGCAATCCAATAGCTACTTCTACCGCAGCAAGTGGGGAACAAATTGGGAATCTTGTACACAACGAAAGTGTGAAGATGAATAGCAGACAACCTTGGGAGAAGCCTTCAGCAAGTGGGCGTTTAGTTGATCCAATGCATCCCGGACCTCAGTAGCAGCTGTCTCTGTATCCAATATAGCGTCCTGAACATCTTGCTGTTGTATGTGAGCCGATTGCTCCGAAGCAGTAAGACCGGCAGCTCTCGAGGCTTGAACTATACCGTCAACTGCCCAAGAGACTTCCCGAGCAGCTTCGCACAACTGTTGCTGACACGATGGTTGATGGATAGTAGGCGCGAGAACCTGGATAGCAGAACAAAGCAGAGCAAATTGATGTAACGTACGATTCTCACGATGTGGAAAAAATAATAATCATGCGATAAAGAAAGTGGACCGAAGACAGTAAAATTCATGCCGGATGTGGCGTCCCAGTTAGTTAGGAATGATGTAACAAATAAAACAAGCGGCAGTTTGGAGGCTCATCTCGAATTACTCGTTGGGTGAATGGGTTGTGACGCGTAATCTCAATGTAGACCGCAGTTCAAATTGAAGTGAACCTTGGTCTTTCGATCACGAGGACCGTAGCGGATGCAAATAGAGATTGGGTGTTGCCCACTCAAAAACACTGCACTCCTATAGCGCGTTTCGATGTGATTACATCTCATCAGATAGAGTTAGCAGGCATGGAACCCGGGATCATTTGTATTTTAGCTTTGACCGCTACCCCTAATCCACGCGGTCACGACGGGCAAAGCTTGGCACAACGGTTTAATGAACGATGTTGAGGGTCATTTTGAAGTACACGTTGTGTGGATGGATTGCGACGCGCAATCTCAAAGTTGACCGCGATTCCCATTGAAGTGAACCTTGGTCTTTCGGTCACGAGGACCGTAGCGGATGTAAGCAGAAATAAAGTGTTGCTAAAATAAAAACACTGCACTACTATGACGAGATCAAGGTTATTACATCTCATCCAGCAGATTTAGCAGGCATCGAACCCAAGATCATTGGAATATTGCTCTAACATTTACCACCAATTAAAAAATACGACCTCTCCAAACCCAACGGAACCTGTTTCCATCAAAATGATTCGTGCCTGAGAGATCCATTCACAATTCGTACGATTCAAGTTGGACGCACATCAGGCGCCGAAAGTGTTCTTCATGACACACTTGAGACGATCCCAGTCCGTGTTTGGCTAATCGACCTCATTTGTCACTGATAAATGGTGAACCAATTCGTCGTCATATTATTGAACTGCAGATGCGAGTTCAAACCCCATCTGAAATGATTAGATGTTGGGCAATTCTTCCAAACGGGAACAGCAAGCGACGGGGACTCGCTCACCACAGGGCCGCCCGAATCCAGGCACGTGTTCCATATTAACCGACAGTCTTGATCTGATGTGTCCTCTGTAGCTGACGGCAATATGGCCAATGTAGGTCCAGTTCATGGAGGAATTTTGGGCTCGCCACGCAACACGATATGAACGCTTGTGTCGAAAAGCAGTGCTGCCAGTATAAAGACTGTGGTCGGTGCATAGCTGCAGGAATCGGTCATCAGTGTCTGTTCGAGGAGCATCAACCACGAAATGGCCCCCCAGGTGTTACTCGGAGTCCGAAGGACGACCCACTTGAGCATTCATGTAACCAGCAACAACCGCATCATTAGTAATTCCCCTCATGCGAAGAGGGATGAAAAAGCACAATAGAAATCGTCTTTCATACCCTCCGAACTGCAATCAGTAGAGATACAAACGGAGGCGATGAAAAGACACATGGATTTTAGTCGGTGCTTATTAACTCCAACGCAATGAGGCTGGACCTTACCGTGGTGCGATGGTTTGTGTGCCTCAGCGATCCATTGAGCTATACTGGGTGGTGCTTTTGCACCTTCAGAGCCACTCATACCAGATTGGTCAATGGTTAGAGGCCAGACAAACTCAGCCTCCTGGTCCTCCAGGTTGGGGGTTGGAATGAGGGTGGCTCCTTATTCCTTAAAACGGACTCCTTGTAGCCTACTGCCAAACCCGCTGCCTTGCGGCCAGGTTTTTGAACCAAAGGCTTTGGTTGAGAACCCTAATCGTTCTCCTGTTTAGGCCTGGGCAACCTGACAGTATCCTGCCCACGCAATACAATGAATCCTTCCCCAAACAAATTTCTGATGCTCTGGCCACCGCAGAGGATAATCAACGGTGCCCTATCTGCTGCATCGAGCAGGGTGGATAGGGGTTTGGATGCTACTGCTCAAGCCTTCCCATCTTCTTATTCCCCTTCTTGCGCCTTTTCACCCTTATCGTCCCGTTCCAGCTTTACTTTTATCCCCCCTGTTTTCAACCCCCAATTCTCGGCCCTCCCCCACCTTGCTTCAATAGTCGCTTGCCTTTTAGTTTCAACTCACAGGTGAACGCAGAGCGTCATTCCTGCACTGTCAACAGGCCCATGTCCAAGCAAACGGCCCATTCCAGTTCATCGGCTTCCATTTGGAGCCCTCGATCCTCCTTCAGACTGGCATGCCTCAATGTTCGCACATTGCTTCAGATCGGTCAACAGGCAGCACTTGCCCGAACATTGGAGACCCTCTCGATCGATATCTGCTGCTTATCGGAGACCCGCCTGCAAGACTCGAGCACTGTACTCACTCTGCGATCCCCTTCAGGTGACACCATCAGCACTTTCTCATTGCGCCTATCCGGTGACGATGCAGCTTCGAGCACCGGCCAAGCCGGTGTTGGTATTGCCCTGAGTCCCCGGACTGAAGCTACTCTGATTGATTGGATTCCAATCAGTAGCCGGATGTGTGCGATCCGACTGGCTGGCTCGTTCAAAACTTCGAAGTCGCGTGGGACTAACAGGTGTCTATTCGTTATCGCTGCCTATGCACCGACAAACTGTAGCGATGACTCGGTAAAAGACGACTTCTATCGCCAACTGAACGAGCTCCTTCGTCACAGAAGGAGCTCGGACACTGTAGTGCTGGCTGGGGATCTGAACGCTCAAGTTGGAAAATTATCCACAGATGAGCTGCATCTGGGCGGCCAACATGGTATAGGTTCCCGTAATGATAACGGTGAGCGGTTACTTCATTTGTGTGAGGATGCTCGCTTATTTCTTGCGAGCACTAATTTCCGACACAGCACCCGCCGGAGGGTGACTTGGCGCCCACCAGCCTCGAACCAGCTATCGACGCAAATCGATCACATTGCGATAAGTTACCGCTGGAGAGGCTGCGTCCAGAACTGTCGCTCGATTTGGAGCACAGGTGTTGACACCGATCATGCACTTGTATGTGCTGACCTGCGGATGCGTTTTGGCGGACGCCCACGACGATGTTGTGAGCGCATTGATAACGGCAGACTGGCGAAGCCAGCTGTTCTGAACGCCTATCAAATTACGCTGTCATCCGAGTTGGATAAACGCTCACTGGATGCAATTGAAGCTCACTGGTCTCATATGCAACAGGCCTTACTTGCAGCAGGCAAATCCTCATGTGGTATGTCTAATCGCCAACATGAACATTGGGTCTCTTCACAGTCTTTGGAACTTATAGATGCTCGCCGGCATATTCCGGCTGGAAGCGAACACAATGAAACTCGCAAAGAGCTCCGGGCAAAACTCCATGCTAGCCTGAAGAGAGACCGCGAATCTTGGTGGTCTCGTCGTGCAACAGAGATGGAAATGGCCGCTGCCCTTGGTAACCATCGTAAGTTATTCCGTCTTATACGGGAAACGGGCAGCAGGAGACCTGGTGTTAGTAAAACTATACGTGACGAGAGTGGACAGCCTATCCACAACTTATCAAAACGCTTAGAGCGTTGGGCTGAGCACTTTGAAAGGCAATTTAATCAGTCGGAATTGTTAGATTTCTCGCCAACCAGTGATCGCCCTGCTCCGTGGGCTGTTCCTTTGGATCCACCCTCTAGCTCAGAAGTCGAACGTGAGATCAAACTGTTGAAGTTAAATAAAGCCGCGGGACCTGATGACCTTCCTCCAGCCCTCTTCAAATTCGCGGGACCTGCTCTTGTGGATGATTTACAAGAGTTACTAGTCAAACTGTGGGAGCAGGAAACTGTCCCAACCGATTGGAGCCGCTCCATCATAGTCCTAATTTTCAAAGGAGGCTCACGATCGGAATGCGGCAGCCATAGAGGAATCAGTCTGATCTACATCGCCTCCAAATTCCTTGCATCTGTCATCCTTCACAGACTGACTGGCACTCGTGAAAGCCAGATTCGTGAAGAGCAAGCTGGATTTCGTCGAGGTCGTAGCTGCATTGACCACATCTTCACCATGCGTCAGTTGTTGGAGCACCGTCACATATATTGGCGGCCCACCGTTGTCGTGTTCCTCGATATAAAGGGGCATTCGATTCGGTGGATAGACATGCACTTTGGGACTGTCTACTCAGGAAAGGTGTACCTGAGAAATATGTGAATATTATCCGAGCATTATATGCGCGTAGCTAGGGCAGAGTGAGGGCTTGCGGCAAGTTGTCGTCGCCCTTTAATATCTCCAGCGGCGTGAGACAAGGATGCCCGCTGTCACCTTTCCTCTTCAACTTCGCTGTTGACGAAGTCATGGAAACCGCGTTTACAGTACACGACTTAGAAGGTGTGGAGCTACTCCCAGGAGAACGACTTCTTGATTTAGAGTATGCTGATGATATTGCCCTGATCTATGACAGCTCACAAACGTGCCAAGCGGCACTGGACAGATTAGTACTAGCTGTCCGTCACTTCGGGCTTTGCTTCGCACCCTCGAAGTGCAAAGCGTTTCTCCAAGATTGGTCTGGACCGCCTCCTACGCTGACCTTTGGTGGGGATCAGCTAGAAGTCGTTCAAAAATTCAAATACCTGGGAAGTTGTATCAGCGCCCGTGGGATTGAAGGTGAGATCACGAATCGTATAGCAAAAGCTCGGGGCGCTTTTGCTAACCTTCGCCACTTATGGCGCCAGCGCGACATCACTCTCGCCCTGAAGGGTAGAGTGTACAATGCAGCGGTACGTTCGACCCTACGGTACGGTTGTGAAACCTGGCCGCTTAAAGCAGCGGACCTGAAGAGGCTAGTTACGTTCGACCACCGGTGCCTTCGTAATTTAGCTCACATCTGGTGGGAACACCGCGTGAGCAACGAGCGTGTTCGATGCCTTGTTTATGGCACAGGAAAAGGAAATGAACCGCTCAGCACCGTTATATCACACATCAGCCTCCGATGGCTCGGCCACGTGTTACGCATGCCAGCTCACCGACTTCCGCGACGTGTGTTGTTTGCGCGTCGGGGGTGTGGATAGAAGAAGAGGAGAGGTGGCCAAGCGATGACTTGGTCCAGAGGAATGAAGACCCTCACTTCTGAGCTGGCCTCTGTTGGAGTGTCTCGGCTCCCTAGTTGGGGTCCGAAAGACGATGAACACGTTTGGTTGGATACACTTGCTGATATGGCTAGGAGCCGAGCTCAGTGGTGTTCGTGCTGTGAGTTTCTTTGTCCCACCCCATCCCTCCCCCTCCAACCACGATCTCATTACTTAGCCTTATATAATTTTGCATAATAATTTTTTTTGGGTGCACAGCAGAAGGCTGGTAGCTTACCGGAACGATGCCCATCCGTTACCGGTAGCTCAGCCAGCTTTCACCAGTTGTTTTTTTCTCTCCTTTTTTCTTTGTATTGCAGCACAGTAGCTGGGTGTTCCCCACCTCTAGCAAACGTGTATGATGATGATGATGATGATGAACCCCAACGGAGGTTCGAAATCGAACCGCATACATGCGGCGATTCACTGACATGCAGTAGAGCAGATTACCTTCAACGAGTTTGCCGAGGGCAGCACCTACACCACAAATACCTTGAGCAAGTGACTCTGTATGACCAGAGAAGCGAAGAATGTAATCATCGTCATCAAATTCAGAAACAGGGCGTCTAAGAATCGTCACAACACTGTTCTCTTTTATGCGTGTTTCGGGGACACGGTACACATCAATCCCAAGAGAGTGAAAAGTTGGAGTTAGTGCTGCGTACTGGCCGATCTGACTCAGAGTGAGACGTTAGGCGAGCCAAACATATCGCTTGCAGCAGGTGCCAGGTCAACCCCTGTCTTTTGTTCAGTAGATGGTGAAAAGAGAACGGAGAAGAATAGGTAGTATTGTCGGCGGAGTCGAGAGTTCAGATGATACTCTGTGACAGTCCATTTCAACAGGGGTTTTTCGAGGTGCCCTGCATCTAGCCTTTAACAGCTTGATCCACAAAGCAGTTGGTTACATGTACATTTGCTTTAGGGACTCCTTTGCTCAATGACCTAACCCACAAGACCGGCTAGGGAGTGTGATTGCAGAGACCATCGCACCACGTTACGGTCCAGTCTGTTCGCAATGGCCTTCCATCATAAGGCCAATGCCAGAATGCGACTCCTCCATCTGCTATGCGATCATCCGAGGCGAGGCGCAGAAGATGGAATGGGTCAAGCATGTCGCTATCAGGCTTATTCCCGGTTTACGTGGTACACCGTACGAAGGTTGGTGCGAGTGGAGGAGTATACATGCTGTTCTGTCGTCATGTGCGAGGCGGTTTCTTGGTGTATCACCGCATTCTACATCCCGGCGAGTTCCCCATGTTGTCTCCCGTGGGTACCTTTTAAGGGAAAAGCGCCACCGAGCGCTTCCTAAACTCCGAAGATTAAATTGTCAGACGGAGTCAGTCTGACCTCTGACCATTTACCGACCTGGCATGAGTGGTTCTAAACGCACTTGGAAAGTGTCACTCGATGTAGGTCAATGAGTCATGGAGATACGCAAACTATCGCATCACGTAAAGGTACAGTCGCGTCGCGGTGGAACAAGGCTATCTATACCATTTCCCGGCCAAGTTATCCTCTTGGGCAACAGAAATAATCTGAGGGGGCATTCAGCATGAATCTACTCAATTAATTTGTTTCGTGTGTACGCCAGTCACTTTTGCAGGTGTGTAGGTGTGCGTGTATAGCCCGTCGCCTTCAGCCAATTGGACCTCAGACGAACTAAGTTATAGGGGTGAAGGTGGGACGCTTTAGCTACTACGCACGGAACAAATTAATTGAGTTGAATGTCCCCTCAGATTATTACTGTTGCCCAAGAGGACAACTTGGCCGGGAAATGGTATAGTAAATCAGAGGGAGGTGCCAATTAGAGTTGAACACCTGCGGTAGTCCACTGGGATCAACAGAATGGAATACTTTCGAGACGGACACCGCTAACGTGCGGAAACGCTCAGTTCGGTGGGCGAAGGGAGATGAATCTAGTTTACTCAAAGCTCGTCCCAAAATGACAATAATCATAGGTGTTGATTCAAGGAGTTGATAAAAAAGTAAAGATGTTGGATGCAGTGAAAATGACAGAACAGTCCGTTTCGGTAAACAACGCATTTTGATACACCATAAATGCAAGGAGTAAGTAAAGAGATAGTGAACCCGACATCTAAAGAAACGATGCGAAAAGTGGGTGGATAAAATATTGGTTCTCCTGGTGGGATAAAGGGCATCCAACAAATTTTTAGAGAAAGTGTCCAGAGGTAGAAGTACACGTGGGTGCATGGAACAAGGAAACTAACCTTCGTACAAGCGACCAGCTGACTAGTGCAAAGTCCTGTTTGTGTGGCCGCAGCGATTACGCGTTGTTGCGCTTCTGGATCCAGTGCAGGCTGTGTTGCGAGATTTTTTGCCTTCACTACCAAGCCTGCCGTTGTATTAGCTACGGCTTTCGCAAGCCCAAGTAGCTGATCCTGAGAAACAGAAGGAATGTAGAAAAAGAAGGTTTTACGATCCAGCACTCAGATGAAACCCAACAGTGTGCAGCGACCTATGTATCCTTGTGACTAAACGACGTAGTCGAAAGAACATACACTGTCGCTGGTGTAAACAGACACGCACCGAAGAGAGATCACTATGGCGGGGCTTCAAGTTTGGCCCAAGTTTTCTCGTTGGAATATTACTTCGCATTATCGACTGCGGACTTTACATTGTACCTGTATATTTGAGACGATTTGTTTTTATGAACCAGTATCAGGGTCAATCATGTCCTACTTCGTCAATCTTTTGAAAAAGGCTACGGGGTACTATCCTACATCCGCGCTTTATCGAATATGGTCACATAGCAGCACTTTTAAACGAAGTATGAACAACTTGTAAAAAAGAAAAGTATCATGCTGGTTAGCAATGTGGCCTCAGTCGTTGTTTTGTCGATAAACGGAGAAACCAGTGTACGAAAGATTGGCTTTACATCCTAGCTTAACGTCGACTACGGGTTGACCTCCACATGACGCACCGGATATTACAGCTGGGAGATTATCCCATGTTGAGGTCGCTGCTTCATCTGCGCACACCAAGCAGCACAAGAGGACCCCGGTACAAGCTTGTCGTACCAGATTCGAAGCGGGTCAGTCACCAACTCTGTTTCGAACGCAGAGTGGTGAATGTATGGAACGACCTGCCGAAGCACGTAGTTGAGGCAAAGCTGATGCCGGAATTTAAGAATTTCCTGGACAAAAACTTTGCCGATATAAAATATATCGAGCGCACTCCAACATAAGGAGTCTTGGTCCCTGAATGACATTAGATGCAGCTACACAGAGAAACCACTTCTTGCTGCTTCCAACCAGTAATCAGGTACTTTCCAATAATGTGTACTCACTCCTTGGTAAAATCGGTGAGCACGGTGCCATTATGCGGCGAAATGAGCAAGTAAATACAGAAATCATTCTGTTACATGAAGTTAATTGGAAACTGATGGAGAAAATGAGATTATTTAATTCGATGATTACTTTTCATCAAATCTGACAACCCTGGAAAGCTTCAGTTTGGTGATGATGGCGTTATAACTTACGTTAACCAACGTCGGCGCAATTCGGCAACCGTAATAGCGTGACACCCAACTGCTTCTATAAGCTACCATTTAATTGTATGCAAACTGTAGTTCTTAAGTGACTTTCAATCAGTCATCGTTGGAAACGTTTATATTGCTTCTGCAGCATCTGCGTCAGAGTTGAAGCTTCTTGAGGACCATGTGTCTTCAAAGCTACTGCTAAAATCAGATAGTTCTTTAAGAATTTTTGCTGGTAACTTTAACAAAAAGAATACAACATCCTTGGGGACAATTGGCTTGGCAGATCTAGTGACCTTTTCGAGCAGACAAGATATCCAGTTGGACGCTATATACACAGGCACACGGCAGTCGTTTTCCATACAAAATGGGCTTCTTAGAGCAGCCCAGACCTTAGTGTTTTAAAATGGTGTCTAAACATATACAGTAGATCAAATTTTTGCACACTTTCTAGACATCCTTACAAGACAATGAAACAGGGAAATTGCTCCTTCGAAATTATCACAAGACTCCAGACGATGTTTAACTGATTTTCGATCATCAACGACGGGGACCTACCGAGGCCAAGTGACCATCTCACAGACTACACAAATATTGCTTGACGTATGCTTCCCTGTTGAAACGATCCACCTAAGGGTGGATAAATTGTGGTCACTGTTAAAGCGATTTCGAAGGAAGGCTTACAAGTGTCACGATCTTAACTAAAACCAGTAAATCCGAACTAAAAAGGCTAAAACACTTATACGTCGAAGCGGTTCTAGGTAACCATAATTGTCGTCATCTATGGAGGCTTTTGAGGTAACACTGGTGAGAGCGCCTGTAACCAAATCGGTGAACTGGATGTGGATAAACCGAATTCTGAGTTTAGTTCCCCTTCATTTAGCTCACCTTCCTTCATTAGATCAAGTCCAGCCGCGCCCTTCGATCGAAGCAACATTCAAAAGGAAGTCAAAAGGTTATGTTGTGCTGGGGTGTATGGCCCCCACTGTACACGCATCAGCAGTACTTCAAGGCGGATTAGATCTAGTGGAGTGGTACTTATCTAGATCCCTTACACTTCACGCCACCAAATGCAATGATGTAATACCGTATATTACCGAAAATGAGCCGATGATTTTTGGACAATTCTCATTTCGGTAGAGGCGGGTCGACTCATATAAAGATTATGCGCACTTAAAAAAAGTCGCGTTCAAAACCTACCCAGGAACTCATTGCACATCTCTGAAACCTATCTCCTCTTAGCATCACCCGCTAGTGACGGAGATTAATTGCCTCATTTTTTCGTGCTGTGTCCTCGAAGCACTGCGAGTAGCACGCCTATAACTATACACGTTATTTCTGTGGCGAAAATTCTCGGTATATTGCATATTTGACGTTCGCGACGGATGACAGTAACGGAAACAAACAGGAATGTACAGAATCTATGGCCAGCACACAAAATAACATGGGAAAAACATGACAGAAAAGCATTAAGCGGTAGATCTTTTGGGAGTCGGCTATTATAGGGACTTATGACAAATTCGATATTGCAAAGTTATGCTGTCGACCTATCCATGGACGGGCTCATATTCGGTAATACAACGGTATCTTTTCTTCGTGGTGTTAAGTTGCAGCCTCAAACAGATATCTCCCCCTACTGGGAGCGAAAACCCAATTCACAGTCAAGTAACTTGACGCCTTTGGGTCGCATAACGTTTCTTGGTCCATGCATGTCTGTGAAGGTTCCATAAAGTCAGAATAATTACTTTGTAGGCTCTCAGACATAAGGTGCTTTCAGTACTCTGTACTTTGATATTTAAGCCTGTGAATTGCATTATTCTCCATTAGTTATACCGTTGCCCTGTCATCTTTACTGGACTGTTACAGAAAGACTACACATTTTACTTGTACATCAGTAAGGCCTATTTCTAGGTGCAGCGGTTTATCAAGAAATTCTTTAGTTGACTTGATCATTTCTAGACAGCTTGACGTACGCAATAATTTTTCATTAATCGCACACAGAGTTTTAAAAAAGGCTCTCTTTTCTCTACGCGTTCGAAATGCAAAATTTTATTCTTCTGCATTTCATCATATCGCAATACTGTCTTGCCGCATTTATCACGTTTGAGTTTAGTTAAAAGCATAAACATGCTGCGTGAGCGCATTGTTGTGCATATATTTTATTTGTCTTCCCAAGTTGTTGTTACTATCATCCATTATGTCCGCAGTGGTGGTGTAACTGCTGAAAAAGGAACCCATTAAGGCTCAGTAAGCTTATTTTGACTCTGACTCCGTGTGGCCAGAAGACTGCATCCGAGCGATATGGCACCGAGAGTACACATAATCAAAAAAATTGCGCATGTAAGATTGACTAAAAAGACCTAGAACAATGCAGACCTTGAATAGTCGTTCTTCTTCAGTCAAAACGAGCAAAGTGCTATCTTGATCCTCATCTCCGGCACCGTGCATCACGTGGCACAGAAGGTCGTTGCTTGCCTCACCCACTCGGCTGGCTGCCTCAATGATCGCCTTCCGTGAGGCGCTTGACACGGGCCCCACTGCTGTCGTGACAGCGACCGAAGAGGGAGCTGTTCCGTTGTCCATACTATCAACAATTTCTTCACGGGTCTGAAGCAATACGATAGAACCGTTTATGTTCCAAGATCAAATAAGGTAACGTTACCAACTGGTGCGTAACACATCAGCACACACTTACTTGTCCAGTCGCCAGCGGTCGAGCAGAGTCCAACAGATTGGTAAATGCGTCCGCTACATTGCGAGCTGCGGATAACAGATTCTGAGTCGACTCTGCTGCACATTCTCTGACAACTGGTTCTCCAGTCCGATCGGCCCGCACGGCATCCGCCTCCCGGCGAAGAAACGCCACCCGTTTGACGTCGTCGACGAAGGCAGGAAAGTGAATGGTCACCACACGGAAAGACTGCTGCATCATCATGAGGTCATCCCCAGGGTCGGCACTTAGACCAAGTGCAGACTGTCCGGATGTACCGGACTCAAATGTTTCAGCTCGATTTGCTGAACGGAGAGCCTGGGCAACAGCGGTATTCATGGCACCCATTTCGTCCGTCACTTTCGCTTGACTGGCTCCGATCGACTCGCTGAGCCAACGTTTGGAAGCCTGGAAGAGAAGATGGAAAGAATTAAAACCAAGGGCATTGCGGCTACCGAGAGTGGCGGAAAAGGATGGCCACAAAGATGACGCAGAATAGCGAATGGCGTGATAAGACCCTCATATCTTCGGTTGGGTGATCAGATATTCACAGTACAGGTTCATCAGAGAGCAATTCAATTCAACTGGTCTTAGATCCGGAGGAGGACAACAAGAATGCCCTTCAGAACGAATAAAATACCTTTTCCAGTCACATGCAGATGAATGCACCAGAACAGGTGACTGACGACGGCAGTGGCCACAGTCACCGAGAGTCGGTAGTACTAGCATTGCTGCAACGCAGTAGTGAAGTAACAAGAAAAATCCTGGTGGATGGTAGACCATTCCTCGAACAACATGGTGATAGACAATATAGAGCCTATATGAAGCATTTTTAACGCTCCTGCAAAGAATGACTACCACACGTACCTCGTCAGTCAGTACGCTGCACGGATCGACATAAGGAAACGGGGGTTAATGGCAGTGCACCTAGCATTCCAACATGATCAGGAACGCTTGAAGATAGATCGTCGATAGAGATTTAGGTAGTATTTGAGATGATGGATCACTCATTGATGAGAAGATGGTCACATTGGAAATAGTGCGTGATTCATAGGAGCAGGTGAGAAGAAGAAACGAGAACAGGGATGACCAAATATGAAAACTGACCTCATCCGAGCCGACTCCCAATAAACTGCGGTCTTCCGTTGACTCAAGATTCAACTGTTCCTTCGCTGCTTGAAGAGTTTCCATGTCTTCGTTGATAGTGTGAAGCAGAGAACGTTGAGCGGGACTCATTTTTTGGTAGTGGAAAATGTGTGTCTGTTTTGAGGGTGGAAACATTGGAGAAGCTATAGTATGTGACCATGGTAAAACTAAAGGAATATACTTGCAGACGCAGTTTGAGGAAACTGAAAAGAAAGTATGAATGGTAGCAGCAATCCAAAAACCGATAAGAGGCAACAAAGTTAAATACCACAGACTGGCAACTGTTGCAAAGCATCAAAATGCCCGGTGGCTGCCGTAGATATGTCGGCCTGTGCAAACAACGGCCCATACATGGCTTAGCAAAGCAAAGGGCAAACAAAGGAACTCTGTGACCCCGAGGCTTAGCTGAAAACTGAGCAGAGAAAATCTATCATAGCGCTGCACAAGAGAAAAGACTGCATAGAATTTGAAAGTTACTTTTGTGATAGTTCAAGCGGAACAGTTATGCGGCTATGAATTTGCTAGATATGTGTAGTGGATACAGTCGGTCCTTCTTGCGGTAATGTTGTGATAATAAGAAACAATGGAGGAAACAACCAAGTGAAATACAAAACAAAAGTGGACAGGGCGGAGACAAAACCCGGTGTCAGAACTGGCAGGTAATGATATTGGATCAGACAGCAATTGTGCGAACAGAATCAGGTTACGGCTATTGTAATGGGAGCAATTGAAGACACTGGATTGCAGTGTAGATGAAAGAGGGATGCATGGGAAACCAGTATCAGCTGTATAAGTAACTGAACCGAAATATTGATGAAGTTTGTACACCTTGACACGAACTACAACTAGCAATTCGAATAGACAGGGAACTTTGCAGAGAAGAAACCAAAGTGGTACGCAACAAACGGTAGCGTGATTAACTGATAATCCCGAACAAAAAAAGGCACGTGGATACCTAGTCTCGATTGAAATTACCGCGGTAGCTATGCGGTCAAAATCAAAAAAACTAATAGCAGTAAAGAACCGAAGGACAGTAATTGGTATACTGTTCATACAGACGATAAGTCTACACCCATGGATCGCATTTGTGCCATTTCTGTCCGTTGCTCCACCAAAATAAATAAATAAATTTTTATTCTCAGCTAAGAGGACCACTCCCGCACAGGCATGATCATGTTAAGAGTGCAACAGGTGATCAAGCAATGTACAATAGGAATGTCATAGGAGTGTCATATATGTTCAATAAATATGCAACACGGAAATTCAGCGCAGTCAAATGTGTATGACGACATCATCGTCAGAGTTCGCGTGCATAATCCTATTGTCACTGGGTTGCGCAAGGTCCTACCAGAAAGACGAAGTAGGCGGTCATCTAAACAAGCCCATCATCAGTCCTGTTGGTTGCTGTGTGAGTAGCCACAGATAAAGCAACTGATACCGCCACGATCGCTGTCAGTACGCTTACGCCCCTGCTATTATTGCATCTACGTCTGCGCGTAGGTCTGTACCGGCGCCTTAATCAGGTCGATGACCAGCGCGTTCGCGAGTTTCTTGTTTTACCCATAGCTATGTGATCGAAAGTCGGAGGTGGTACAGAAGGAACCGACTTGGCAAGCTGAACGCAGCAAACAAAGCGGCAAGGAGGCTGACAGTGTAAAAGTGAACCGACTGGCTTGTGTTGCGCTGTGTAATTGATTGCAATGCATACCCAACACTATCTTAGCACTTGTTCCGAACACATAAAGGTGATCAGCGTAGACTGCAGAGAGAAATTCTTTGGAAAACATCTCAAATTGGTGCCATCTGAATGAGATGTATTGAGGTACAATAGATGAGGTGAACCTTACCTATACTTAGCGTGTTGAAGGGGAATGGTGGCAACTCACATTCACCAACGACTAGCGCATTCGTAAAAAAATAACTGATAGTTCTGCACAAAAAGGCCACCCCTGGACTAACCCGAAGAATAAACTGCAGCTGATACCTTTCTAGAAAAGAAGGTACTATACTATCTGAAACGCCCAAGTTAAGAGGAAGTCACCTGACTGAAAAATAAGCTTCACAGATATAGCGAAAATCATGATTAAGTTTGCCATTCTATGAGCTGACTAAGTGCTCAGAAACGTAAATTAGATGGATGATGTATAGCTAGTTACTTGTGATCCCAGAGCACATCTGAGTCTACGAGCTGCTTCGCAGATCGAGGAATGCGGTCAGATTCGGCGTAAAAATTCAACTACCTGTCCAGCAAGAGTTAGTGTTGAGTCAAAGCAACAGCCAAGCGGTTTGCGCAATACAAACGACGCATTGCATCCAACGCTGAATTGGTAAACAGTATAAGACGTGCCCAAAAGTCACTTCATAGACGGTCTAGTCATAAGGAGAGGACTTCAATTGAGCCACATTGCAGTGTCATCATTGGTTGATCACCAACAATAGCTCCATCAGAAGATTCCCTAACCAATAAACGCTATAACCGACAAATCTATATTAAATAATACCGAAGAAGAAGAATAAAATGTACTATTCAGAGAAACGCTAAGAGTAATAATTGGCACCGTTTCATATACCTCGTCTGTCAGTAAGAAAACAATAGGAAAAGTGCTAGAATTTGCGCAAAAAGCCATTCAAAACCAATCATGACGCAAAGCAATGATGACACTCCGTAGCGAACAATAGCGAATCACCCGCAAAGAAATATATCGCAACTAGTACTCGTCCATCCTAGAGGAGGATAGCAGAGAGCGTTCTTTTTCTAACAACAAACACCAACACTGTGATGAAGAGTGCTCAGTAGCATCCAAGCGGGATCCACAAGGAAACAGGAATCAATCAACAAATCGGCTGAGAAGTATGAGCTCTCATGCCTCAGTGGATGATGTAAAAACCGACTACGGGACTAGAAGCAAGAAAAAATCAGAACCATAAGAGATTCGGTGTCGGCTTCACCAAGTGCAAATTGGTTAGCGTTAGACCATAAGCGACACGATACCTAGTAAAGTAAATGTGAGAGCCTACACGTGTTAACAAGAAAAACAAACAGTAGAATAAATTTAAGATCTATTCTCCATCGCATGTCCTATAGTGTGACGACCTCAGTGACCTTTAGGGCTGAATACTTTTGGAACATCATAATCCGTAACACATTCATCCGCAAAAGACAGTTGGAGAACTGCTTCGGAATTTCGAAAAATACAACATCTGCACCTTTCGATTCCGCTGTGCATCAAGAATCGTAACATCCAGTTGCACTGTACCTCTAACCGACGAGGAAAAAACGTGTTTTTTATTCGCCCTAACTTAATATTGTTCATGCAAGCGCAAGGTACTACCGGTACATACATGATATGTGTCGAATATGGACCCAGCTTCCCAATAAAAATATACCTATTATTACCAACGGTCATGACGAGCCAAACAATGAACTATTTGATCGGACATTTATCTCGCTTAAAACTGATAGAAATAGGCATAATTCAGACACCGTTTCAGTGCAGTATGCCACTCTTAATCATGCTGGCAAAGAGCGCAACGCCGCAAACTGTAGTCCGATATTCAGCCTCAAATTTGCTATTGTAAGTGTCCACTGTCTGGTACTAAAATTGGATACACTTGCAAAAACCATGTAGTTTAGAAAACGTCGCTTTGTTTTCCTCGCTGAAACATGGTGAAACACACATCTCGGTGGGTCTCGACTTAACCTTCGGGATTAACACTTGGTTCGGTAAGATCGTTTGCGCAAACGCAGTGGCATTCGAGCCACTATATTAAAAGGAGGTAAAGCAGCGGTCTGCGTCGATAAGTTACCTCTCAAATAGTTGAACCATGGGTGGTAAATCCGTTCACTGACCTCCAACTGGGTTGCATTTACAGATTCACCGAAACCTTCGTTATGAAAACCGACAAGCAGCCGATCCCATTAATTTTGCTTCCGGCGCTCTCTACTACAACGAAGTTGTGCGCAGAAACACAATATGACAATTTTCAGCATAAGTATGGGGATAAATTGGAAATTAAGAACAATGTCGAAGCCTGACCGCCACACGTATCTTATTGAGTGAAACAGTTTCGGCAACCATGTTAGCATCATGGAATTGGAACCATTTTCTCAATACATGATGCAATTTAGACACGAGCGAATTGATAAACAGTACTGTCGCCTGTGCCCACATAATAATACTCAAGTTGTAGATAAACAACCATGGCACCAAGCTAAAGGCCTCGCAGGAACAGAGAATGTTGAGTTGCATTACCGAAAAGAGAACGACAACTGCACTATCGTAAACACACGATGTAGGCAAAGTATAAAATCTACGAAGCCGACCCCTCGAGAATCTAGAGATGACACAAATGTTGGCGTAGTTACGTAAAAGAAAATTCAAAATGACTTTAGATGACGACTAAGCATCAAACGACAATATCCGACAACATTAAACAACAAGTTCCCATTTTGCACCCTCGTTCGATACCGATACTTGCAAAACTAAACCTTAATTAATGGGAAATGAGCTACTGTCTGGCATCCCGGCAAAGGCTAAAAAGGTGCGGGTAAGCGCTACACCAATTAACCATTATTCCAGCTGCAGTAACAGTCGCAAAGCCGATTTAAAGCTCAGTAGTAAAAGCACATCTATCACTGTCCGATGTCTTTGATGTAGCTGTTTTGATAAGAATAGTAGAGAACGAAGGCGGTTCACTAAACGAAACATCAAACTATTGAAATAAAAACCATACCACTAAGAATCAGGATGAATGGTGTTGTTCGACGCGGTTAAAAATGGATAACTATGCATGAAATGAGCTCCTTCGACACAGTAGAAGCACGAACACTGTAGTGCTAGCTTGGAATCTCAACGCACAAGTTGGAAAATTTTCCACTGACGAACTTCATCTGGGCGGCCAACATGTTGTAGGCTCCCGCAATGATAACGATGAGCGGTTACTTCACTGTGTGAAGATGCTCGCTTATTTTTTGTGCGCATTAACTTCCGACACAGCACAGCCGGAGGGTGGCATGGCGCCCACCAACTTCGAGTCAGCCATGCACGTAAATCATTCACATTGCGGTCAATTACCGCTGGAGAGGTTGCGTCCAAAACTGTCACTCGATTTGCGGCACATGTGTGGACACTGATCATGCACTTATATGTGCTCATCCGTTGGTGTGTTTTGGCGCACGCCCACGACGATGCTGGACGCGCATAGACGCCAGCCAACAAAGGAAGCCAGGTGTTCTGAATGCATACCGAAGTACGCTGGCGTTCGAGTTGAGCAAGCGCTCACTGAATACAGTTGAAGGTCACTGGTCGCATGTTCGCCAAACCTTACTAGCAGCAGGCAAATCCTCATGCGGTAAGTCTAATAACCAACATGGACATTGGGTTTCTTCGCAGTCTCTGGAAATTAGCGATGCTCCCTGGCGCATACCGGCTAGAAGTGAACACAATGAGACTCACAAGCACCTCAGGGCGAAACGCCGTGCTAGTCTGAGAAGAGACCGCGAGTCCTGGTGGTCTCATTGTGCGTCAGAGATGGAAGTGGATGCTGCCGTTGGTAACCATCGAAAGTTATTCCGTTTGATACTGGAAACGGGCATCAGGGGACTTGGTGTTAGTGACACAATTATAACGAGGGTGGACTGCCTATCCACAATTTGTCAAAACGTTTAGAGCGTTGGGCTGAGCATTTAAAGAAGCAATTTAATCGGCCGGAATCGCTCGACTCCTCACCGGCCAGTGATCGCCCTGCTCCATAGGCTGTACATTGGATCCGCCCACTCTGTCCGAAGTCGATTGTGAGATCGGACTGTTGAAGCTGAATAAAGCCGCGGGATCAGATGATCTTCATCCAGCCCTCTTCAAATTCCCGGGCCCGACTCCTGTTGACGATTTACAAGCGTCACTAGTGTAACTGTGGGAGCAGGAAACTTTCCCGTTCTTTAAAGAATTCTAGCGTTCGGAATGCGGTAACTATAGAGGAATCAGTCTGATCCCCATCGCCTACAAATTGTTTGCCTCTGTCATCCTTCACATGCTGAGTAGCGCTGTTGTAAGCCAGATTCGTGAGAAGCAGACCAGGGCTGCATCAGCCACATGTTCACCCTGCGTCTGTCGCTGGAACACCGGGACATATATCGGCGGCCCACCGTGGTCGTGTGTTTTCACATCGAAGGTGCCTTTGATTCCGTGGATCGTTGTGCCCCTTGGGACTGTCTGCGAAGGAAAGGTGTGCTTGAAAATTGTGCGATCGCATTATGCGCGTAGCTCCGGCAGAGTGAAAGCTTACGTCAATCCATCGCCACCCCCTAATAACTCCAGCGGTGTAAGACAAGGATGTCCGCTGTCACCTTTCCACTTTAACTTCCCTCTTGACGAAGTCATGGAGATCGCATTCACAGGACACGACGTAGGTGTGAAACTGCTCCAAGGTGAACGACTTCTTAGCTTTGAGTATGCCGATGATATTACCATAATCTGTAACAGCCCACAAACGTGCCAAACAGCACTAGCCAGAGTAGCACTGGCTGTCGACCGTTTCGGGATATGCTATGCATCCTCGACGTGCAAAGCTTTCCTGTAAGATTGACAGGGACTGCCTCCTGCGCTGACCATCGGTGTGGATCAGCTATAAGTCGTTCAAAGATTCAACTACCTCGACAGTTGTATCAGTTCCCTTGGAATTGAAGAGGAGATCACAAACCGTATAGCAAAAGCTTGGTGTGCTTTGGCTATCCTTCGCCACATGTGGCGCCGGCGCGTCATCACTCTCTCCCTGAAGGGTAGAGTGTACAATGTAGCCGTACATTCGACTGTGCTGTACGGTTGTGAAACCCAACCCGTTAGATCAGCGGACATAAAGAGGCTAGCTACGTTCGACCGCTGGTGCGTTCGCAATTTGGCTCACATCTGGTGGGAACACCGGGTGAGCAATGAGCGAGTTCGACGCCTCGTTTATGGCTTGAGTAAAAGTGAACCGGCTGGCACCGTTATTTCACGCACCGATGGCTGGGCCACGTGTTACGCATGCCAGGCCACCGACTTCCACGTGTGTTGTTTGCGCGGCGGGGGTGCGGATGGAAGGTGGAATGATGGCCAAGCCGTGACTTGGTTAAGAGGAATGAAGGCCCTTAGTTCAAAGTTGGCCTCGATTGGAGCCTCTCGGCTAAGTGGTTAGTGACCGAAGGATGATGGGCACGTTTGGCTGGATACGCTAGTTGACATGACGTAGAGCCGACCACAATGGCGCTTTTGTTGTGAGTTTCTCTGTCCCTCCCCCTCTCCCTTAGCCTCGCTCTCCAAATACGATTTCATTCTTGCAGCCAAATAGCCGGTTGTTGGCTCTTCGGAACGATGCCCATCCGTTACTGGTGACTCAACCGGCGTGCCTCTGTTGCACTTTAGTTTTCTTATGTATTGCGGAATAGTAACCGGGGAATTTTGCACGTCTGGCTTAGATGCGTAATGAACGATGACGACAGGGAAAAGATAATGGATCTGGAATACATCCAATGATCACCTACCAAAATGTGTCACCATTTCCTCAGTCTGGGAAACATATACTAGATGCACTTCAATGGCTCTAACCAAAAATCACTTCCATAGTTCCTTGAAGTTTGAGCTGTTCCTATCAACGTGTAAAACCAATGAGGTCTTTATTACAGGCAATTCATAGAAGCCGACAGCTACTTTTATCGAAAAGTACTCCAGTAGCTTCGCCATCAATCCTTGACAACAAAAGGTCCTCTACATATCGGAAATAAATGGTGATAAAGCACAGGTGTATCTGATGAAATTTCCAATCAAGAAGTCGCATTACCTAAAGGTAATATACCGGATGATTTGAACTTGCAATTTGCTGTGTTCATTGTTATAAAGTACCATTTTGCCTACCTAGCACATATCCAACTAATGGAGAGAAAAACATCTGACAACGTTCCTCTAAAAACAGAAAAAGTCACCCTCTCAATCGTCTTATAAGATACACAGCTTGTGTGTTTATCATCCACTTCCCTGATAATGGTTCGCCATCGGATCTCGCTGCGCACAAAGCTGGAGTGTATTTTCGGAAACCAGTCTGAGTCACAAATCGACTAGATCAAAGACAGTAAAATGCACATGAACGTAAATCCACTTGAAGCTGTCCTGCAAGTAAAGTATCTAGCACAATAAAAGCCTAGTGATGCAACAGAGCATGATATTACTGATCACCTGTGCAAATGGTCGATCTTCAATGGGGGAAAAATCTCCCTTGCCCGAGAATACATCCCAACTGATTTATTCATTTATATGCTCACCATACGAATAAAGTGCGTTGCAAAGTGTGCCAAATAGAAAATGCAACTAAGGCCAGACAAACCTGCCATTTTGGATGCACATAAATGACAAAACGTACGCAAAACGGCTAAAGCAAAACAAGAGGGGGCATTGACAGGGTCTCATGGTGTAACTCACACCGCCAATCATGAAGTCATCCGGAGAAACTTGACGTCCAACACGTGCCATAGCGGTATTCATAGGTCCACTGTCAATGATTTCCGATGTATCGGCCACCAGGCGGTGCTGGGACCACCCATTGGTTTGCGTCACGCCCGAGGTCATGTGTATTAAATCTTCAGTTCCGTCGAGCACAACTCCATCTGCAACTCCGTTGAGGAGAGCATCCTTCCCTCGGGCACGACTTGAAGGTAAGTGCTGGTGTTGGATAATGGTAGCTCTGAAAATTTAAATGGGGATGAGGGACAGAATGGTACAACGGTTTATAATGGTCAAAAGAAAACATACTTGACAAGTCTAGTAGGATGACTATCATGAGAGCTACAAAATGTAAAGTGTCATAACACAATCAAACACATAATGCCTGATTCACCGAGAATTTCAGTTAAACATAGAGGTAAGCAGTCTGTCTCGATTATACAATGAAGTTTGATGGATGCACAAGTTACTTTGCGATAATATGGCGTAGGGTATGCGCGTTAGCGCAACGCAGACAAACTTTTAAATAGCAAAAAGAGCGAAATAGAAGAGCGGCCCGGAGCTAGAAAACGCTTTGCCGATGATCTAACCGATTAAGCTAATGGAATCTCGGGTTAGCGTATTGGTTGAGTTTCAAAAGATCCCTACAAGCATGGTTGGGGTTTCCCACAATGAGATCGTTCTGTAGACGACAAGTACCCACGCCGCGTGATTCTAGGGATTTCTGCCTAAGTTCATATTGCAGATGGGGTAAGCCATTGATGTTTTGGCTACCTTAGGTTACGCAGAATATTGTGCGAGAAGACCGTGTTATTTCCAGGCTTAGATAGTGGGCTTCACATGCAGCATCACAAAAGCGTCAAGCTTCCAATGAGTCAAGCGTGCAGAAACGCCCTTTACAAGAGTCTAGAGCGCCGATTTGCTTTCTTTGATGCGTTTTGGACCGGACTCGAACAACTTGTTGAGCACCTCCAGATCGCCACTATAGGGCGCCCGCTATAGAAATTATGGATGTATAAGGGACTCATGAGTGCTCTGGTACTGTAAATGCTTAAAACTTGCACTTGATAAGGTTGTAGGGCAAAGTATGAGCCACATGGACGTCAAGATGCAGTGACCGATGATGATCTATTGTCTTGATGGGAAAATGCATAGGATAAGCATGATGAACACGCTGGGGTGGACAAGAGGATATGGCGAAGAGCCGGCACAAATGGCGATTGTGAGGCGAGTTTCTTGGTCTAACCTCCAAGTATAGATTCGCCCTCCAATTGAGATCTCATACAAACTGCATAATAAAATACACAAGTTAGAATTTGTTTTCCTTGCAGTCTTTGTAGGGTAAATCGTTTAAGCATCTTATGATTTGTATTGAGGCACCAAGGCTGAGGCGTGTTTCTCACTCAGTTAACGTGTACTGATTGATTGATTGATTGATAACTTCGCCCGATATCCGCGCGTAAAGCGCCAGGATAATAGTTAAATGCATATCGAGCACACCATACTTTTACAGACAGTCCCAAGGGGCACAACGATCCACGGAATCAAAGGCACCTTCGATGTGAAAAAACACGACCACGGTGGGCCGCCGATATATGTCACGGTGTTCCAGCGACAGACGCAGGGTGAACATGTGGCTGATGCAGCCTCGGTCTTGACGTAACCCGGTCTGCTTCTCACGAATCTGGCTTTCAAGAGCGCTACTCAGTATGTGAAGGATGACAGAGGCAAACAATTTGTAGGCGATGGGGATCAGACTGATTCCTCTATAGTTACCGCATTCCGAACGCTAGCCTTCTTTGAAGAACGGGACAGTTTCCTGCTCCCACAGTTACACTAGTGACTCTTGTAAATCGTCAACAGGAGCCGGGCCCGGGAATTTGAAGAGGGCTTGACGAAGATCATCTGGTCCCGCGGCTTTATTCAACTTCAACAGTCCGATCTCACAATCGACTTCTGACAGAGTGGGCGGATCCAAATGTACAGCCTATGGAGCAGGGCGATCACTGGCCGGTGAGGAATCGAGCAATTCCGGCCGATTAAATTGCTTTTCAAAATGCTCAGCCCAACGCTCTAAATGTTTTGACAAATTGTGGATAGGCTGATCACTCTCCTCATGTGTACTTTCACTAACACCAGGTCTCCTGCTGCCCGTTCCCAGTATCAAACGGAATAACTTTCGATGGTTACCAACGGCAGCAGCCACTTCCATCTCTGACGCACAATGAGACCACCAGGACTCGCGGTCTCTTCTCAGACTACCATGGCGTTTCGCCCTGAGGTATTTGTGAGTCTCATTGTGTTCACTTCCAGCCGGTATGCGCCAGGGAGCATCGTTAATTTCCACAGACTGCGAAGAAACCCAATGTCCATGTTGGTTATTAGACTTACCGCATGAGGATTTGCCTGCTGCTAGTAAGGTTTGATGAACATGCGACCAGTGACCTTCAACTGTATTCAGTGAGCGCTTGCTCAACTCGAACGCCAGCGTACTTCGGTATGCATTCAGAACACCTGGCTTCCCTAGTTGGCTGGCGTCTATGCGCGTCCAGCATCGTCGTGGGCGTGCGCCAAAACACACCAACAGATCAGCACATATAAGTGCATGATCAGTGTCCACACATGTGCCGCAAATGGAGCGATAATTTTGGACGCAGCCTCTCCAGCGGTAATTGACCGCAATGTGAATGATTTACGTGCATGGCTGACTCGAAGTTGGTGGGCGCCATGCCACCCTCCGGCTGTGCTGTGTCGGAAGTTAATGCTCACAAGAAATAAGCGAGCGTCTTCACACAGAAGAAGTAACCGCTCACCGTTATCATTGCGGGAGCCTACAACATGTTGGCCGCCCAGATGCAGTTTATCAGTGGACAATTTTCCAACTTGCGCGTTGAGATCCCAAGCTAGCACTACAGTGTTCGTGCTTCTACTGTGTCGAAGGAGCTGGTTTCAGCTGCCGATAGAAGTCGTCCTTTAGCGAATGAATGCCAGGGTTTGTAGGGGCGAAGGCGGGGATGACAAACAGACACCAATTAGCCGCGCGCGCATTCGATGATTTGAACTAGCCAGCCAAGCGGACCGCACAAATCCGGCCACTAACTGGGATGCACTGCACCGGAACAGCTTCAGCCCGAAGACTCAGGTCAATACCCGCGCCGGCTTGGCCGGTATCGAAACTACATGGTCTCCGGATAGGCGCAATGAGAAAGCACTGCTAGTGTCACCCGAAGGGGATCGCACATGAGAAGAGAGAGCGCGAGTCTTGCAGGTGGGTTTCTGAAAGGCAGCATTTATTGATGGAGACGGTCTGTACTGTTCGAGTAAGTTATGCCTGTTGACCGATCTCTATTATATTAGATACACTATGTACATCTATATACAGATATATATACATATATTCTTATACATTATATATACTATATACTACATATCTATATATATGACTATATATATATTGGTTCACAGTCTGTTAACAGACATTGTGCCATCAGAACCACGGCAGAAGAAAAAGGTGAAGAAGATGGGACACTAATGCGATTAAAAAATATGGGAAACGAATTTTTTTTGGTTTTTACACACGCCATTTTGTATTTTTTGTTTTGTTTGTGAGTTTTGTGTGTAGCAAAGGGATGGTGAAATTGCGGAACAACATTATCGCCACTGATGTCTGTTGCGGGCCAATGACGTCCAATGTTTCCAACCACTGCAATTCAGCATCTCGTGGTCCCCAACCTGGAAGGCGGACTGGTCCGACTGCTGCCAAACTTGAGGTCGCCTTCTTCATACTCCTTCTCCCGTCATCGGCTGTCCACCGCGGCACGTTTTCCAATCGCTCCTGGGAGTGCAAATAGCGCTAGACATTGAAGGCGATGGGTTGGCATGCGCAGAACATGCCCGAGCCAGCGCATGCGATGTCGGAGAATAACGTCTTGAAGACTGGCACAATTCGCCCCAAGCACGCGGTCTCTCACCTCTGCGTTGCTTACGTGGTTTTGCCACCACACCCTAGCAATCCTTCGTAGACAGCGATTATCAAAGACTGATAGCCGCTTCATATCTTCCGAGCGAATAGGTCAAGTCTCACAGCCGTACAAGAGTACTGCACGGACGGAAGCATTGTACACCCTGCTCTATTAATGTGCGTACGCTGAGGAATGCCAATCTGAGAGACGATCGAGGACTCAAAATAAAAGCCGATGAACTCAGCTACACCGGTTGGTTAGACATGGGCTTATCGATAGCGGAGGTGGGCCGTATGGCACGTTAGGCGAAGCACTTCGAAATCAGTTCATTTGTCCGCCTGCTTCTGGACCTCTTCCTATTTGGGTGTTGCAGGCTGAACCATGGTTAGTCTAGAGGCTCCGCTGGAGGCCAAAGTCCGAAACGCGATCGCAGCCTTTAATCGTTTTCGTGCTGTGTGCCAGAATGTCCTCGCCTTAGTACTATTTAAGGATAGTGGTGGGGTCATCTGCAAAGCTCGTGGCACATTGAAGCCTTCGATCATCGTTATCTGCTAACCATTGCTTGTGTCTGGTGGCACCAGCGTATCCGCAACGATGATGTGCGTAGGCGAGTACTAGGTAGTGATACTCATGCGAGCTCCGTAGAGCAACAAATAGCACTGAATAAGGTGCGTTGGGTTGGGCACGTATGCGCGGTCACTACTCCTAAGGAAGGCATCGTTTTGTATGCCTGATTTAGGGTGGCGCAGGCCCGGGGTGGGCAAAAATTAACATCACAGCGAGAAACGAAGGCACTGACAACTAAACTCGGTGCGGTCGGTCCGTCTCACCTTCTAGGCAGGATTCCACATGACTCGCCTTGTGCTTGGCTCGAGGCGTTACAGTACATTGTTTACAGTCAGTTTAAGTGGCGCAGCTGCTGTCCAACTGCCTCTTTAAACTGTGTTTGTTTCTGTGTCATCTGCGGGGTAATAGATGAATATTATGCGGGGCAGTGAAAGCCGCAAGGAAGCTGTCTTGTTGATACCAACTTATCTGCCCGATAACTAGCTGTTTGTGATGGTATGTTGTCGACAAGATGCATGCGCCTTGATTCTGAATGTTTGGTTAGGGCACTGAGATTTCACGCCAAGTACCCCTTCTCTCCCCCGTTAGTTTTTCGTTTCGTAGATCCCCATGGTTGTAGGGCAGTGAAATATCAGTTCAAATGGCTGATGTACTGCTGTTGATGATGACGATGATGCCGCTATTATGGCTTTAAAAGCTGAACCCTAGCATGAATTGTGTGGATTTTCTTGTATACATTAGATACGCGCCAGTTGGTATTGGGCCTGATCAGAGGAGTTGGAGATCAATGGATGCATAATTCCGAGAGCGCGCGTGGACGGTTGTATAGGGACATATTCGTTATTCAGTACAATAAATCCTCCGGGGTTGGAACAGCCGTATAACATGATGGTTGATTTCTTAACGAGATGTTCATCATCAACCAGTGGTACCATGCTTCAAGAGAATATCAGCTACTTTGAATGAGCAGAAGCTTTCCGTGGAGCTCGTCACGCCGAAGGTTATAGATCTTGATATCGTTGGTGAAGACAAATGGCTGACCATGTGATACAGATGTGATGACACCATTGATGTTGAACAGGAACAGCCAAGGACCGAGCACACTCCTCTAGATGAACACATTAGCGATAGGGTGAGGAGAAAGACAACAGTTCCCTAAAGTAACTACCTGGTGGCGACCAACGAGGTATGACGTTAGCCAACCTAGTAACCAGTCCCGGATCACAAGGCAACAAACGCTTTTAACAACCACATGTGACGTGCCCGCTCGAATGCATAATGCACGTTCAGAAACATAACTATTACTGCATCAGTGAAATCGATAGATGGTATCTTCCGATTGCCAGACTGAGGTAGGAAAAATGACGAACACGTTTAGTTGCATACAATAGCTAATATGGCGAAGAGCCGACCTCAATGGCGTTAGGTTCTTTCCCGCTCTCCTCTCCCTTAGCTTTCCGCTCCAACAACGATCTTAAACCCAATGCATAAGATGATAGGTCAAGTCAAGTCAAAATAAGCTTTATGTATCCAGATGGGTACATTTTCAGCACCTTACAATATCGACTACGGATGGGGTAAAATTACATTATCAGAACTTTAAATTTGTATGAATGGAAAAAGGACACTGTGTACAGTTGTCAGTTGAGTAAACGGTCAGTATAAACGAGCAACAATTAAACATTTCCGGGCGTAATAATCTAAAGCTGCATTCTATTGGGAGGCCACCGCTGCAAGCCAGATTCCCAATCGAGATGGCTTAATCTTCAAGTGCGCAGTATCCTGAGCTTTTCACAAAAAATAGGCGAAGGACCGCAGTGTTGACCTTGGAAATGGCGTGACATAAAGCAAGGTTGAAGTATTCCGAGAAAACTAATGTGTCCATACCGATCGCGGAAAAACGATGTTCAGTGAAAACGGTACGGCCAATGTAAAGGCCCCGACCCATGCTGAGGATGATGTTGCGTTCATGATGCTTCTTCACCGCAGTTGGGCTAAACCAACTTACACTTAAGCTAGGTCATTTTAATTTGGATAAAGGTCATTCCACTTTATTCGGTTTGTTCAATTCTGTTACTCTGCTGCATATCCAGTGTTAATACGCGTGTTTGGTTTCCGTTAAACTCCGCTGGTTGTTTGATATCCGAGGTGTGGCTACGCTCGATGTGAATGTTGACAAGATGCCTACCTGTCTAACACCCTCCACCTCCATTACTGACTCCAGGAGACTGTGAATGGTTGCTGGGGGGTGACGGGGTGCAAGGTCCTCGTGGCCGTGCTAGGTTCGAAGAGTGGTTCCAGCCAGTGTGGAACGGACTACGGCCCAGTCACCGCCTTATGCACGTCTGGTTTGCATGATTCCCCATATAGAGAGACAGGAATACTGCTGCTGTGCATGTTGAAGGAGTGTGCGCCGCCTTAGTTGATGAAACGTAGCTCCATCCACATTCCGCCCGGTCTTATTCCTTCGGGTTTACCCTAAATATGGGGTGTGTGGACGGAGCTGTGGGTGGCGCAGCGCAAGCCACCTATGGTCCTTCTGTAGGCACAGGCAGCAATAACAGCCAAATCCGGAACCGGATGCCACCAACCATGTATTAGGTTACTTTGCTAGCTTTCGTAGTCTGTAAAGTTTAATCCCTTATATTTTTGTATTGTGGCACATTAGCTGAGGTGCTTCGCACTATCGGCTAACGTGTACTGATTATGGCGATGGTTATGTAGTTCAGAAAATGTAATTGACAGGTGGTGCACAATCGCTTGTTAAGAGAATTATGCTGCGAATTATTTGTCAGGTCCAATAATTGACAAACTTCATCATGGCCTTGTGACCAGATGTTCAAACAACAGCTGGGCGACTAATGAAGAGTGGTGGTACTCATTCGTTCGGGACCTATACTGCACCGAGGCATGATAAACGACTTTCTCCATTGATATTGAAAGTGTCTAGATTCCAGCGATAGGGTAAACATGTTTATTAGAATCAGGGTCCTAAAATTTTAATGGTTGAATGCCACCATATCCTAGCTTGGAGGATGGCCCGACCGACTTTGTAACTTGGTGGATACCATTGAGCGAAATATGAACTCCGCCTTGGAGGTTTGTTACTGTAAACCCTATGTGCACAGGCACATGGTCATCCTCGAGACTCATGGAAGCGGTGAAGAAGTAAATGAATGCCCTACAGATTGCAGCCGGATCATGAAGTGACCCACACCGTCAAGAACTTCAGTAATCTAAGGGCAGTCATTGGTTCGACAACGCAATATTTTAACAAGCTCCCTCGCCTTGCAGATAGTTCGTAGGACTATACGTACTTCATTTTTTCGCCGCGTCAACTGCGCATGTTTGACTCTGGTGATAAATTCGTGCATTTGTGAGATCAGCGAAAAGTAATACATATTTCTGAATATAACAGATAGTTTTGTAGTTTTATTTTAAACTAACTGAGTGTTCCATGGCAGCTTTGGAGACATGAGCAGTACGATCATACTGTGGAATAAGAAGGGCTATAGCATGACAGACATGATAAGAGAACTTCCCCTAGTAGAGAGAAAGAAAAAACCCCAATCACAAAAACATGTAGTGTAGAAAATATTCTGTTTATTTCGTGGGTTGCAGGTCAAGGCGTAGAAGCGAGTTATGTGGTTATTTTGATGTGGAAACTGAGTCGTATCATTTTATGGTTGTTACGAGGGAGATGAAGATCTCGGGCTGTGCTTTTGAGATCCACAATGTGTAGTATCTTAGCTCCAATACCCTAATTGACCTGGTTGGAGTGGTAACTCATAGTGGCCAGCCCACACTCGCTCCAAGTTGTGGGCAAAGATGACGGTGTCTGGCAAGATCAGCGGATTATCGTTGAAATAGGTCTGTGTGGCAACACCGATGGAAAGTTAAGGGCAGAAATGATCATGACACTACTCACATTAGAGGCATTCGGTGGATTGTTGATGCAGGCACCTGTAACTGACAACCAAGTAGATTTAGACATATTCCAATTGTGAGTTGTCGATACGTGCCACAATAAATGTTCCGTGTACGTAGATGACACACCCTTCACCTTTTCTGGTGCAGCGATCTTTTTGAAACAGGCGGTAGTTTGTAATCATCAGAATGAAGTAGTGTATCAGAGGAACACCATGTTTTGGTGACGAGGATGCCTTGTGGGTCATTGAATTATGCAAATGGGTTTAAAAAGTAAAGTTTGATGATTGTGATTTTGTTAGCAAGCAGGATCGCTGAAAACATATCATGTATTGGGGAACTGCCACTGTCTGTTGCATGATCGCCTGAGTATTTGGGTCCGAGCATGGTACACACAGTAGGTGAGTGCGAAAGTGGTGGGGTGGGGTCAGCTACTATCAAGTTTGGGAGTAGGGACAGTGTATCACGCGTGAATGTCGAGAGAGCTGAGGGTACGAAGGGAGCCGAGGAAGCATGCTTTGAGTGCCGTTGGTTTGGCACCGGATTAGCCTTGTCATTCAGACGAATTGGAAGAAGAGTGGAAACAAACAGTTGACCTCTACCGGAGTAACACTGTCAGAAACAGGAAAACCCACTATATCCGTTCGTTGCTCTGAAGGCGTTTCAGTACAGCAAGGACGGATCGCACTCGAGCTTGTAGCCATTGTAGATGAGTTGTCGAGGTCAAAGTCGATGCACCTAGTATACACATTAGATGCACATAACTTTTGGACGTATGATTGAGAGTTCTCAACTAACTTACTAGCCTTTTCCGGTGTTCATGGTACAGTGCCAATTGTCCACCTCTGTAGGGGTGTTTTAGCTGGTTTAACCAAAATATCATTAAACTGCGTGTACAGGGTTACGATGTTTCCATGATTCGGCTCCTTCGAGTAAAAATTTGAAAGCGATGAGGCAACAATGTTTTGGTGGTGTCTTTTTTAAACACTGACATTTGTAGTCCACATCAGACATGCCACAAGCTCTCAGCGTTGTCAAATTTACTTTATCCAGGTCTAATCTATCTGGGATGTGTAAAACAACCACATTTTTTAATACACACACATTCGTTCGCGTACTTCGGGAGCTATAGAGGTAATTAGCTGCCCTACTTTTCCCATGACAACAGGATCAATCTTTGCCAATGGACGTAATCCAGCGAAATCAGGTGGTCTCTGGATGGTACAATGAGTGTCAATGTTTCTTCCTCTCATTAAGTTCTTAAGCTAACCTAGCCAAAAATGCCGCGGCACGATCGAAGACGATTGAGTTGCAAAGCGAAAAGTAATACTAAAATGCCTGAACATATTTCTGAAACTCACCTCTCGGCACGTACGTTTTCCTCATACATAGCGGATTCTTCGTCCCCTTGCAAGCCCGGGTGATCTTTGGCTTTCTGCTTTTTTGTGATGATGTCAACGTAGCCCCCAATTAACTGTGAGATCTGCTCGCCTTCTGAGGTCTGCGCAGTGTAGCAATCATCCGGTGAATACTCACCAAAATCCTGAATGACATAAGGACAAAAAATCGGAATTTTGTCTCCAACACACAAAATAAGTAGAAGAGTAGGAAAACAATAGTAACGAGAGTAAAGAGAATGACAAATATTACACATGGCAAAGTGGATGAGGTGTGGAGAATGCAGGCAGGATAACAGTAGAGATCTGTGATCTGTAAAGCGGAATCTGGCAACCGAGAATGGGAGGACAGTGGGCAGCCAAAGTGAAGGCAGGTGAGGAAAACATTGCACGCATAAGATACAAAGAACTGCCTAATGAGTTGATCGACCTGAGTTTTGGCTACTTCTAAGACCACAACGCACAGTTTGAGTTAGCTGTGTGCTTCAGAATGATCCCGACAAAATTGCGAAGAGAAACACATCACATTTAGGATAACTGCGTTGTTGCGGAACCTGGTAAACCAACCGATAAATAGAATAGGGATTGTCAACATGTAGCGTAGCTCAAGCTCGATAAATCCAGCACGATTAACAGGGACCGCATCGAATGAAGAGCTTTTTCCTCTAAGTATCAAATATCTGTCAAATGTGTCAACATCTGTTTACCGTGTGCGATTCCAGTTATTGCAATGAGGCTATTCGCAAAAGCCCCCCAACCCAACCAGAAAAGCAGAAAACAGGGACTATGATGGAAAGAATGCCTGTTCATCAGTACACTGCCCAAAAATCTATCCAGCTCGAATCCCCATCATATTCCATTGGTTCAGAAGTGAGACGCTGTGTTTAACTCAGAACTCGCCAACTGAGTTTCGCTTACACGCAAGTTAGCAGGCAATCTCCACTGGTTTGAAATCCGGTCAACTGATCTTACCAAGAGCTGGTCACGCAGGAAAGGTAGCGATGCGCCCAAATACCCTTCTGTTGAGATTGTTGCTTCATTGTAAGACGACAACCTGAGGTTAACCTGCAGTTTTAACGATTGACTTCCGTGTCAACGTGACGACCGCATTGGTTTGGTTAGTTTCAACAAAGCTTTAATGCTCATTGTCCTCAGTTCCTATTCCAACTGACTGTCGCTGTCCGTAACATTCTCCGACGGGTTAGAATTATCCGCTGATACTCAAAAGCCCATCGGGCGTATTCGGTTCCGACTGGCACGACCTTGGCCGCAACTGTTGCAAGACGAATTCATTTTTCATCGACTACGGTCACTTCGCAGCAGATCACTTTTGTAACCAATCCAAGTGTTTACGATTAGATAGGCTTTTACCAACACGCTCTGTCCAACATCGAAATGCAGCGGTGTCTTCCGTTGTATTGATGGTCCACTATTGCATTTCTTTATGAGTTGTAATTGTCAGGCGATTTTATAAGGTCAAATTTCGTTCGCGACTTCTACGCATGAGCGATTCTGTTGAAGCTTTTCCGTCAGGGATCGGTGGATTGGGCGCAAACTTGTATGTTAACAGAAGATTCTGTAAGACCCCTTGTATTCGTCTGTATCTTTCGGTTTTGATCAAAGCCCTCTTGGAGACAGCCACAAATTGTTCCGTTTGCCCGTTAGACTGGAGGTGATACGGAGGGGAATAAAAGTGCTCCATGCCGTGCCACCGCACGGAAGTCTGCGAATTGTGAAGGAGCAGAACTCGGACACTAGTGTTCCTAGGAAAACGAAACGGCTGAAAAGTTCCTTGAGGACGGTGATGGTGGTCGGTGTCGAGGTGTTTAACACTTGGAAAATCTAAAATCACTTATGTAAGCGTCGACAACGATCAAAATGTCCGGTCTTTTGATCGGCCCTGTAGAATCAATGTGAATTCTTGACCATGATTTCGCGGGCGTCGCTTATGAGTACAGTTCGCATTTCTGCGGTGACTCCGCTGCTAGGACACACTTTGCACACAAATATGTTAAGCCCTCAACTTGTGAATCCATAAAAGGCCAGTATACATAAGTTATTACCAGAACTTTCATTCTGTTGGAAGCTAGATATCTAGCAGGATTTTGGATTGGAGTTCAGCTAGAATGACGACGCCCTCAATAAACAGAATACAGTCCTGAAGAACAGACAATGCATTCCGTATCTGGAAAAACTGTGAATGATAAAACCTGCTCGCTTGTGACAGCAAGGAGTCCCGTAAAGTGGCGTATTGAGTCAGATGGAATGATATTAGAAGTTGTCTCTGTGTCGGAGAGCACTCAGTTGGTTTCCGTTTCGCTGGAGACATTAGCAACGACCGTGTCTTCTGGCTGAAACTGTTCGTCCAAAAGCAGTGATAACGTGCCAGCTTGATAAATGTATTTTGTCGATCGGTATTTGATGTTGAAGTCGTACCGCAGCTATGTTGTCACCCATGTATGCAGACGATTGGTTGTATATACCGGGATTACTTTCTTGGAGTCGAATATCACAAGAAGCGGTTTGTGATCCGTTATGAAGGTGTAGAGACGACCACATAGCATTTTGTGGAAACTCTTGACTACAAACGCAATTCCCAAAGCCATATTCTCAACTTGTCTATAGTTTCCTTCTGCCGCAAACAAAGAACGAGTGGCGTGAACGACAGACTTCTCGGATCCATTTGGAAATGTGTGCGGGATAGCTGTACTGACTCCGTAACTAGATGCATTCGGTGTTACGACAATTGCCAGTTTTGGGTCGTAGTGCATCAGCATCAGCTCTGAAGTTAGCAACGACCTGACCTTATAGAAAACTTCTTGACATTCGATGGTACAGATCCAAGGAACACCTTTCAACAACAACAACAACAACAAAAACAACAACAACAACAACAACAACAACAACAACAACAACCGGTTCAGGGGTCCACGGACATCGTGCATGGACGACAGATAGGTGCCGTAATAACCATACCAGAGGAAGATCTTAAAGTTGCCACGTCCTTAGGTGGATGCATATGCTTGATCGCTTCGATGTTTTCCGGAGCTGGTCGTCGCCCACTTTGATCAATAATAAAACCAAATTACTTAATGGATGTCATAAAGAACTCACAGTTGTTCAATCTCAAACGCAATCCATACTATTTTATTCTATTAAGCACATGTTCCGTTCGCAGGCGCAATTTTTCCGGGTTAGATCCCATGATATCGTCTATATATGCTGCAGTATATGGTATCCCTTGCAGCATCGTATCCATGAAATGCTGAAAAATTGCCGGGGATGCCTTAATATCTAATAACAGTCGAATATACTGGAATAGTTCTCGATGAGTGTTTACCGTTAGCAAATACTGGGATTCTTCCGACATTTTGAGATATCCGAAAAGTCCAGTTCGGCAAAACCTTTGCCATCGTTCAAACGTGCAAAAAGGTCCTCAGGCAAACGTAGAGGATACTTGTGGTCCTCTAACGAAGCATTCAAGCTAGTAAAATAATCTACACATAGACGAATCTTTCCATTTGGCCTCTTGTATATCACAATAGGAGTTGACTAAGAAGAGTACTTGGTTGGACTAATAACTCCGGCCAACAGTAGTCTGTCAATTTCTTGGTCGACGATTGAAACGACTGCGTAGCGAACTGGCTTTGCATTTGATCACAGGAACAAACTAGCGTTGGTCTTTGTGCATAATCCCAAACCATCCTTAAACACTTGCGTATACTTCCTCTGTATGATCTCCGTCCAGTTCACAGTTGCGTCGCTTAAGTTGTTGCACACGGAACTCAAGGGAACGCCTAGCAGTTACACACTGTCAATCAAGCCGAGACGAAGTAAGTTCAGGTTAGGGCGTCCTGTTACGTAGCAAATATCTTTCGAAATGACAATCCTTACAAATTTCAGAGCAGGAAATTTTATCGACCAGGTTCAATACTCCTTCTGAGGCATTGGTGGCAACCCGAGTTGCTTCTTGGATGCATGACTCATCGATTTCTTTCCATGTTTTCTCGGATATGACCGTGGTATCTGAAGCAGTGTCCACTGGGAGGCGCACAGATACTCTACTTACAACTAGCATGATGAACTTGCTGCCTTTTGTTGCCCCTACATTACATGTAACGAAAACAAAATAAAGCTGTGACCGTTGTTTTGTTAATGACGTGAGTACAAGCATTTTGGAATACTTGGCGGAGTCGTCGCTCTTGAAGGCAGTAAAAACGGCAGTGATCCTCCTTGTGGCCCGACCGGTAGCCTCCAGGATCACAAGCCTGTCTTGTTATCCGAGAGCGGGGATTCGAGCCTTCGTAAGGATCAAGCGAACCTTGCAGTATCCTTAGCCCACATGCGACTGGTGGTGCTTGCGCGGCAACGAAGCGTTGGTACTGCGTACCGGCGTACTGCCGGTGCTTTTTATCTGTTGCGTTTCTAACAGCGATGCTTTTTAAACGGACAAAATCTGACGTAGTACCAATCTTTGCAATACCGACGTATGGCGCGTCGACCGTGCGCTATATAGCAGATTCACGGCTTAACGACTAACCAAGAGCGAACGGGAGAACACACGAAAATAAGCTAGAGAAGGTTTATTGAACGGCCGCTAAAGTGGCTAAAGCTGAAAAATAAGGTACCAGAGGAGAGCTAACGGAAAGATGTAATGGAGTACTGAGTGCGAGGACAGGAGAGTCGCATGTCGCAGAGCGGATGCGATTGTTTTGCGTGTGATGCAAACAAACGCGAGCAACATTCACAAGTAAACCGCTTGATTACCTAATACATAAGAAACTATAATTTCAGAATAATTTACAGTCGAACGGAGGAATCTCCAGGTCACTACAAGCGGATTGTTTGGCTGCATAGGTTTTGGCACCGTTGAACTTCAGTGTTATGTTGATACCATCAGCACATCTACGAGACATGGACCTTTGACCTAGGAAATCAAGTTTGGATCGTGTTTCAAGTTTATCAGTCTCTGACATTCAGTGGTTATGGACAAAAGATTAGTGGAGGAGTCGTGCTCAATTTTATTAAGCAACCTCATGCGTATTTCTGTGTCCTCTGGTGCTCTGAGACCACGAATGAAAATCAGCGCCTTGTATTGATCATCCGTCATCTCTTTCATCCTGAAACACTCACAATGACGGTTGCC